TTCCAATTCACCGAATTCTCGGTCTGTTAATATTTCTACAGAACAATTAAATCAAATTGTTCAACAAGTCGTTGCCATTTTACAACCCGCCATTAAACAAATTGTGGAGACTACTGTTTCTGAAATTTTAAAACAGACACAAACAACTTCAGCCACTCCTCAAGAATCAAATACACAATGGGGCTCCCCTTTATCAGCACTTTCACCACCTCCTAATTTAGTCACTAAACTCATTTCTTCCGTTGCTAGCAACACTGAACTACTTAAAGAAAAATCCTCTCGTGCCGTATTGGAAAAATTGCCTGAATCGTTTGATGAAAAAGAGGTAGTAAGTAATATTGTTAAAGAATGTGGTTTAATTGACAAATATATCCCTCAATATACGCATAGACATAAAACACAATCGAGTGAGCGTTCTAATAAACCAAAATTAATTAAAATACAATTTTCGGACACACGCTCACGCGATCAATTTCTTTTCTCATTTCGTAAAACAATTTCAAATATCCATACAATTCCAAAGAATGTCATAGTTCGTAGGGATATGATTCCTAGTGAACTATCTATTTTGTATTTTTTGCGTTCCAAAGCGTATGAGCTTAATAAATCATGTGGCTTATTTAAATATTATGTAGTTGACCTTGAAATAAAACAGATTAAAAATCCCAAACCTTTTAAATCATATACTAAATAGGGTCACGACTGTAAACCACAGAAAATTTTTAATGTGTTTAAAACAAATTCCATTGACAGATTATCTTGTATTTATTTTAATAGTAGGTCATTATCTAATAAAATTCCAGATTTCAAGCACTTAATTACTCTTTATAACCCCGATGTTTGTTTGGTAACAGAAACTTGGTTTTCAGATCATAGTATTATTCCATCGGATTTATCGTTTTCCTGTACTTATCAATATTTTTTCGCTAATAGATCATCCAAAAAAGGAGGGGGTGCCCTTATACTAATTCATAAAAATATTCCTGTTCAATTAATATTCTCCGGTACAAAATATAACTGTGAAATTATTTTTCCTAAATTATTGCTTCACCCAATCATATATTTAGTCAATCTTTATCGACCTCCGAATACAAGTATATCTAACACTAAAAAGTTATTAAAGTTTATTGGAAGCTTTAATTCTAAAGAAATTATTTATACAGGGGATTTTAATATTCCAGGAATTTCCTGGAATAAAAATATGTGTGATAATACTAATATTTCAAAGCTACTTATTGAATGGACTGATCAACATCAACTTAGGCAGCATGTAAATGAACCGACTAGGGGAGACAAAATTTTAGATCTAGTTTTCTCACACCCTTTTAATATAATAGATAATTTAGAAGTCAAGGAACATTTCTCATCTTCTGATCATAATTTAATTATGTTTGGTATAAAAGTATCTTATGAAAAACGCATCACTTCCAAGCCCTTAAAGAGACAGATTACTCTCAAAGGATTCACAAATATGAATAAATATCTGTCATCTATTAATTTTGAATATATTCTCTCCTCTAGTTTCACTATTAACGAAAAGTATAATAAATTTACTGAAATTATCAATTATGTTTTTAATGAATTTCACCCAATGAAGAAGGTTAATAAGATTATTAAAGATAATTATAGCAGTAAGGTAAAAACACTTTATAGAGAAAAACTAAAACTACATAAGGAACTAAAAGTAAAAAACTCAAAGGATTTACAATTAAAGTATAGGATAATTACTCGTCAATTAAGACTTGAATTAAGGAAATTTTATTATAACAAGGAAAGAAGTATAGTATCAAAGGGATCCAACTCAATGCATCGATTTATAAAAAATAAACTTAAAACACAAGAAATAGACACATTAATTGATTCTAAAGGTGTGATATATAGTAGTGAACAAGAAAAATGTAACCTACTAGCAAGCATTTTTAACGAATCATTTAATATAGATTATAACAATGATATTGCATTTAATACTAATCCGACTCATGAACTATCTGATATTACTTTTACTATTTTAGACGTTTTAGATATCCTCAAAAGATCTCCTAATAATAATTCTACATCACCAGATAATATTCCATACACTTTACTTAGGAATTGTTCTGAAAGGATAGCTCCAATTATAGCAGATTTATTTAGACTTATATTAGATAGTAGGCAAATACCTGAAATATGGCGAAAATCTTTAGTTGTTCCAATCCATAAAAAAGGTGATAAAACTGATCCATATAACTATAGACCAATCTCTTTGACATGTACCATGTGTCGAATCTTTGAACGTTTAATATCTAAATATATAGTTGAATTTTTGCATCTCAAAGGATTTTTTAGTAATGAACAATTTGGGTTTTTGAAAAACAGGTCTACAACGACACAATTACTTACAGTTTTGGAAGAATTTTACTCTGCGATTGAGAATGGAGAAAAAGTAGATGTTATTTATATTGATTTTAAGAAAGCATTTGACACTGTACCAATTTATAAACTTCTCATAAAGATTAATGAAGCAGGTATAAGTGGCAAGATATTTGATTTTATCAAAAACTTCTTGACAAATAGAACATATAATGTTAAGATTAATAATAAACTATCAGATAACTTTAGAACCACTTCTGGTGTACCTCAAGGAAGTGTCCTTGGTCCAATATTATTTACTATATTTATAAATGATCTTCCTAAATCTCTACCAGAAACTGTATTCTGTAAACTTTATGCAGATGATGTTAAATTATTTGTAAAGCATAATAATGATTCACAAAGAGAAATTCTAGTTAACTCATTAAATGCACTACAGGAATGGGCTGATAATAATTGTCTAACAATTTCTAAGGAAAAATGTTTCGCTTTATACATAGGGAAGAATAACACAAATTATCAATATAAACTTGGAGGATTAGTAATTGAAGAATGTAAAGTTATAAAGGACCTTGGTATTTTAATAGATAAAGAGTTGAACTTTACACAACACATTAATCAAATAGTTAAGAAAGCTTATTTTAAGATGTTCCAGTTGCTAAAAGTCTTAAAGACTAAAGACCTAAAAGTTTTGATTAGTGCATTTAAGTCATATATACGCCCCCAACTTGAGTACGCAAGCGAGATATGGAATCCTCAATTAAAAACACAAATTTCTCAAATAGAAAAAGTACAAAAATATTTTACTTCCAGACTATTATATATTAAAGGGGTCAAAAAAATACCTTATAAGGAAAGATTAATGAATTTTAATCTTAAAGAACTATCTCATAGAAGGGCAGTTGCTGATCTAGTAATGGCGCAGAAAATTGTTACCAAACAAACAAATTTAGATCCTGTTAAATATTTTTCTTTTGCTAAAAATGCCAAGAGAAAAATATATTACCTTCATACTAGAAAATGTAAGAAAATATCACGCAATAATTTTTTTGTTAGAGTAATACATAATTGGAATAAACTTCCTAATGAATTATTAACTATATACAAGACTAAAAGATTTAGAGAGTCTGTCAATGGAATAACGTTTTAAAAGTTTTGTATCACTTATAAATTATAAAAGGCTGGGTTAATCTGTCTTATTTTATACCAATTTAAAATTTGTTTTTTTTTGTTTTTAACAATTTATTTTTTTATTATTGACATGATTTTTTTTTGTAATTTAATTGACAATTTTATTTTTCACCACTGTAAGTGTATAATTTATTGTACCGTGTGGTTTGCATAAATATTTATTTATTTATTTAATAAATGTTTTTATTTGAGGAATCAAAGAAAAGAAATGCATTAATGAGAGCGTGCCCGCTCAACTCATCGAATCCTTAACTCATCGAATCGGCCAAAAACACTCAACTCATCGAAACGGCTAAAATTCCTTAACTCATCGAATAGGCCAAAAACGCTCAACTCATCGAATCCTTAACTCATCGAATCCTCAACTCATCGAATAGGCCAAAAACGCTCAACTCATCGAATCCTTAACTCATCGAATCCTCAACTCATCGACAAGGCCAAAAACGCTCAACTCATCGAATCCTCCCAAAAGAGGACGTTTGAGTCCCTGTGTTTATTTTTCTCCCAAAAGGGCTAGCTGAATCTTCGTTGAAAAAATTTTTGTGCTGCTTTGGAGGCTAGGAAAAAGTCCTTTTGGGCACAATCGGGCTCTACTGGATTAATCTGGTCCGGTTTTGCCAGGTAAAATCTCCACCATAATTTACCAAGAATGAGATCATAATTTACCAGGATCTCCAGCATAATTTACCAGGATCTGAGAATGGATGAGTGACCGATCAACTAATTAACAAAATCAGTTGAAACCCCAGAAGAAAAACAAAAAAAATAAACAAAACAATAAAAAATCGAAAAAATAAACACTGGGACTCAAACGTCCCCTTTTGGGAGGATTCGATGAGTTGAGCGTTTTTGGCCTAGTCGATGAGTTAAGATTCGATGAGTTAAGGATTCGATGAGTTGAGCGTTTTTAGCCTAGTCGATGAGTTGAGGATTCGATGAGTTAAGGATTCGATGAGTTGTAGGGTAGCCAATGAGAGAGGAGTGAACATATGAAAAGTTTATGAGCCTTTCGCGAGCCTATAAATTCTTCAAAAAATTTTTTATTTATTCTTTATTTAAAAAATATTTCTCATCTTATGTACAATCGAGTTATTCAACAAGAAACAATAAAATAATGCTTCCAAAGTAATATACCTATTGTAAACTGAAAATAATTTTTCTATCTTGTGAATTGTAATACAAAAGTAAAATTTTTCGAAAACCAAAAAACAAAATATTTTCAGAAAATATTTGAAAAAATGAAACAGAAAAGCTGAGACAGAAAGAAACTGGAGGTGGTAAAAAGGAAAGGATACAATCTGATACTTAAAATACTTCTAACTTCACCTCATCCCCTTTTTCTTTAACTTTTTAATAAATACTAAACATAAAAATTTATTTGAGAAATTAAAAAAAATAATTTTAAAATTAAAAAAAATGTTGGTAATTTTAATGTTAAAAATTTATGATTATATTTAAATTTAGTTTGTTTTACATACTTTACAAGTTGAAGCACAAATAAGTGAAACGCTAGGAGAACAAGGACGACCTGTCGCTTTATATAAACTTGTGATAAGCTGGCATCCTCTAAATGTTAATTAATTTGAAATTAATAATTTTTTAGAAATAAAAAATTTTTAAAAATAAAAATATATAAATATATTTTTTAGAAATATTTTTAAAAATTATTATTTTTATTTACTTTCCAATATCTTTGCAAACTAAAGATGATTGAGAATTTCCTCCATTTGTTGGTGTTACGCCGTTTCCTGAATTTTCACTATTCGCTGGATTTTCATTATTCTTTGGCGGAGTTTCCCCATTCTCTAATTTTCCAGAACCTTAAAAATTATTTAAAATTAAAATATCTACATATATTTATTTAATTAAAAAATATTTACAATAATTATTTTCACAAGGTCCATACAATTCTGGACATTCACCATTGACACAAGCTAATAATTATTAAAAAATTATTTGTTTAAATATTTAAAATCGCCTACGGGCTAATTCAGCAAATGATTCCAAAATTAATAAATTTGTATTAAATATTAATATAAAATAATTTACAACAATTAACATAAATAAAGTATAAAATATTATTGAAAATATTAGAGGAATTATTAGAGGATTGTAATTGTCTTGAAAGAAATTTTTAAAAATAAAGTTAATTACCGTAAATGCACTATCAATTACGCTCTCTCAAATAATTACCCCAGCTCTATAAACTCTTCAGCGAGAGGTCGAAAAAATAATTATTCAGGTAATTATTAGAGCATTTACGGTAGGTATTTTTATTTTCTAAAATTTCCACAGAAAATTGTTTTCCCTTTCCCATAAAATAAATTATTAATTAAATAAATATTAATTTAAAATTTATTTTTCTAATCAATTAACTAAATGAAAAGCTAAATTTAAATAAAAAAATAAATTTTAGTTTCTTCGTGAATTTTTAAAAATTAAAAAGCTATGCAAACATTTAGAAATAAAATAAAGGAAAATTTAAATTAAAAATATTTAAGCAAAAATAATTTGAAATTAGTTAGGGGAATTGTCTGATTTAAAAATATTATATCAGTTTTATTTTGAGTTAAAAATTTGTTTGAGAAATACTCGGAGTTCAGGTTGGCATTCTGATTCTGCAAAGACGTTGCTTAAAATTTTTTGTGTTTTCTAAATCTTCTATAAAAAATAATAACTTGATATTTAGAAATATACCATGTACTTTATTTGATCAAAAAACACAAAAATATTTAACTATTTTCTTTTTTTTAATCACATTTTATTTCTAAATATACAAGGAATCGTTTTATTAATCATTAATTGTACTTTTAAAATGATGTAATGTACATAATCAACAACACATTAAATAATTCATTAATTTCATCATAACACATTTTTGACGTCTAATTTAATTAAAATTTTTATTTTCTATAAACAAAAACAAAATAATTTTTAATTTTAAGGTAAACATTCAAAAATTCAATTTACTATAAGTTAATTCCAAGTAAATTCATGGAAATTGTCATCATTTTGTTTTTTTTATTTTTGAATGATCTTGAACTAATTAAAAAGATTTTTTAAAATCTTCTGCAGAAAAATTCCTTATAAACAAAAAATATTTCGATAATAAATAATAAATTAAGAAATATTTATTTATTATATTCTTTTTTGTGATTTCCACGAGTATCGAAAAATTTTTTTAGATAGATAATTTTGATCAACAGACTGTATTTATTTTGTGTTAAAAGTACAAGCAATAAATACAATATAAAAACGATAATTTAAATTAAAAATTATCATTTAAATTTTTTTATTAAATACTTTCCTCTAATTGTTTGGAATTTATCCCATTTCCTCAATAAATAACTAAAAAATGATTAAAATAATCTTTTTTGCCCAAATTTCATTTCTTTTATTTTCCTTTATTTTTTCAAATATTCAATTAAAATATAAAGAAAGAAATTTTAAAATAAATGGAAATCCTTTAATTAAAATTTTAAAAATTAATTTTCAAAAATTCGATGATGACCACAACAAATTGGAAATATTAGTTGAGCTTGATTCTAGCCTTCACAACAATTTTTCTCTTTATTTAAATTTGAATTTAAACGAATCTTGCAATTTCGGGCCAATAAAATATTTTTTTGAAAGTGGAATTGAATTAAAAAAAGGTAAAAAACATAAATTATTTAAAAAAATAATGAGTGTTAATATTAAATTTGGATTTAATATCTGTTTATTTAAAAGTGAAGAGAAGGATTTTTATAATTATGTAAGTATTTATTGTTAGTTGAAAAAAATATTATAATTAATTTTTTAAATTAAATTCCAACAATGTAAGCTGAAGGGGTTTCGAAGGAAAATACTAAGTTTGAAATTTAAAGGCGAAAATTTTTAATGTTCGGCACGGTTGATACTACTGCGGTACCGATACCTTTATTTTTTCCTAAATAAAGATAATTCCCGAAAATAAGTAAAATAAATTTAAAAAAATATTTTTAAATTTATTTTAGCAAATAAACAATATTTAATTTTTAAAAATGTTTAGTTGCTTGCAGAACTTCGCCCAACATTTAAACATAAAATTGCTGTGGATACAAAAAATTTAACAGAAAACAATTTAATGTGGCAAAACACTAATTATAAATTTATGAAAATAATTATTGATGGAGTAGAAACAATTTATTGTTTTAATTACAAAGAATTTAAAATAATTAAATTAATTTTGTTTTTGAAAACTGAGGGACCTCAAAAATTAAAAAATAATTTGATCGAAAATTTGGAGAAAACATCTTTGACTGGCAAACAAAATAAAAATTTAAAAGAATATTCTCATATTGAGATTTGTATTAAATTTGAAAATAAAGGGGAATATTTTATTAATTTATCTCAAAAATATGGAGATATATTATTTAAATTTTTTGTTAAAATTAAAGAAGATAATAAATTTAAATGTTTATTTAAATTTTTTGGAAATATTAAAGATGATGAAAAAGAAATTTTGGAAGGGTTTAAATATGGATTATATTTAAATATTATTGAAACTTTTAAAAATGAAGATTTTGAAGATGGGGAAATGAAAATAATTAATTTTGAATCTAAGAAGAGTTCTCAAATAATTTTAGGATATTTGGAACCTTCGATGGAATATGGGGAATATATCAAAAGTGATGAGGGTGAGGAATTAAAGAAAATAAAATAATTGAGAAGAGAATAAAGATAATTTTGATGAGAAATACATATTAAATATTTAAAAAATTTCAATCATAAAAAATGAATGTTAATTACGAACAATTTTCTTAATTAAGAACAATTTTAAAATTTTTAATTCAAAATTCCTTCTTTCCATATTAAATTGTTATTTATTCACTTTTTGTAGTTTAGTTTAAAATTTATTATTAATCATATTGATTTTAATTGTGATAAAAATTTTCGTAAATAACATGGGGATATATTAAATCATCATCATTTTCGGTATTGTGGAGAACCAAATCAATCTACTGTGTGGTGATACTACATCCAACGACATAGATATTTAAATTTCAAACACCTCACTTTCCATACTTTTGAGTGTGTTGATTAAATATTACTTATTATAAATTCACTAAAAGTTTTACCCCGTCTAATAAACTAAATCGGTTGAATATAAAAAAGAATCTGGAACACCAAAATAATTTAAATAAAAATATTCAACAATGAATTAGAGAAATATGTACTTAAATTTATTGGTTTATTCACCTTTTTCAGTACTTTAATATGATAATAAAAAATAATCAAAAAAAACTTAAAATTTTAAAAATAACAAAGCAATTGTTTTTTATTTAAAAAAGTTCAACAAATATGTACTTAAATTATTTTTTGATGTTAAGCTAAGTAGTATATAAATACAGGAATATTATCATTAAATATATATTCAATTAAAAATATCAAAAAGATATTTAAATTTAAAAAATGGAAGGCAAAACTTTATTTTTAAATACTTTCCTTTTCTTTACCTTTATTTTAATCATTAAAGCCCAAAATAATTTAGTAGTTTCCCCAAAATATACCACAAAAGATACTTGTCTTAATCCGTCTAAAGCTTCTGGCCCAATTACTTCAAACCTTAATAAACCGATTAATGGAGGTATATTTACATTATATGGAATTGGTGGACGTGGGGCCTGTGGATTGGATATTGATGCTGTAATTTATTTATTTAATCTTAGATAGAATCCGTTTAAATTTTTGATATTGTCTCTGAATATTCTTAAAAGGATTTGTGTTTTTTGATTTAATTATGATTCGGACCGATTATTTTGTATTTAGTTCAAACTTATAGATAAGTATGTATGCCATAAATTATTAATGCTATAAATTATATGCCAAACTTTTACCCTGAATATAAAATAAATTAAAGCTCTTATTCAATTAAAATTTAGCCAACAATGTCGGCAGCTGCGTCAGGTTCTCTTTTTAACGATTCTGCTCAATGGGTTCCTTCTTGTCTGCCAGATAAGCGTTACTTGCTTAACGACCCAATTTGTATGAGTAAATGTGTTAAAATAACCTATAAATGTGTTGGGTGTTCGACTGCTAAAACGTTTAATTTTATCTAAAATCCTTAAAAACTCTTTTCAATTTTAACAGTTTAACAGTTCCAATAAACAATAAATGCCCAGAATGTGCAATAAATCATGTAGATTTGTCTACTGATGCTTTTACTTGGCTTGAACCTCAGGGAGGGACTGTTGGTATTGCTAAGGGTAAATTTAAATAGTAAATTTATAGAAATAGAATTCAAAAATATTTATTTTAGATGCAACAATCACCTACATTAATTGCTAGAATTTTAGTAGATGATTAAACTTCTTTTCAATTTCTTTAAAATTAAAAGCTTTAATTATAGCATTCTTTCTTTCTTATTTTAAGAATTGTAGAATATAATTAGTATATTAAATATCTAAATGAATTAGATTAAATAAAATTATTTTGATCTGATATGGACCGCAAAATTAAATCATGGCAAAAAATAAACTTAAGATATCACTAAACGAAATAGGAAAACTGACAATTAGCAAAACTATTTTCCCATGTGAATTTTACATATTTTTATAAAATTAAACTAAAATACTAAATTAAAGCCAAATAATTCAAAAATTAAGCTAGTTAAAATTTAATTAAGCAGAATTTTGTATTCACTAAATTTTTATTAAATAATCTAAAGTCAACCGCCTCAAGTTTCGCTATTATAAAAATGAAGAAATGAATAAAATCTGAATCCACAAATTCTCTCGAGACAATAAATTTTTAATATAAATTTAATAATTTAAAAGTCCTTTTCATTGTTTAATGTCTAAATAATTAGTTAGACTTTAAATTTTGGAATAATTATTTTAATTGTAATTCTGAACAAATATTAAAGTGCATATATTATTTATTATATAAATAAAGGTGAATGTAATTAAATTAAATTAAAAATTATTTAATTAAAATATAATTTAACAAAAATGGAATTTAATTTGCTTTTAATATTTTTTATAATATTTATTAATGTTGCCACTATATTTCCAGACAAACCAAAAGACCGCCCAAAACTTCCAAAAAACCCCAAAAAACCTAAAAATCCAAAACTTCCTTCTAATCCAAAAAAACCAAACCCTCCAATTAATGACGGAAATAATAAAGTAGTTAAGGCAAAATATACAGAAAAAGATACTTGCCTTTCTGAATCCAAAGCTAATGGGCCGATTAAATCAAATCTTAATAAGCCAATTAATGGGAAATTTACATTTTATGGAACTGGTGGACGTGGAGCTTGTGGATATGATATGGATGAGGTAAAAATTAAGAAAAAATTTTAAATGATTAAATAATTATTAACAAATAATAGCATAGAAATACTGTTAGGATAAATTAAAAGTCAAGATTTAATAATTTTGTTACAAAAATTTATATAAGTATTTCTCTAAAAATAATCCCAAAACATTAAATAATTTAGCCAAAATTCTCCGCCGCTGCTTCAGGCTCTCTGTTCAACCCCGGTGGACAATGGGTCGTATCTTGCTTTAAAGACAAGCGTTATGTACTTAACGACCCAATTTGTATGAGTAAATGTGTTAAAATAACCTATAAATGTGTTGGGTGTTCGGCTGCTAAAACGTTTAATTTTATCTAAAATTCTTAAAAACTCTTTTCAATTTTAACAGTTTAACAGTTCCAATAAACAATAAATGCCCAGAATGTGCAATAAATCATGTAGATTTGTCTACTGACGCTTTTAATTATCTCGAGCCGAAAGGTGGAATTGTTGGTGTTGCTAAAGGTTAATTAAGGTGTTAAAGGAATTAATATTTATTATTTTAACTTTAGATGCAACAATAACTTATATTAAATGTTAGAAAAGAAGTTATTATAAATTGTTATAAATGAAAAATAAACAAAAGAAATGAATATGTAATAATCCTAGTTAATTCAATTTCTAGAAATTTATTTTATTGTTATTGTTTGAGTATAAATTATGAATATATTTTGGTAGTTTATTCATAAAATTTTAAATTTATCGTTTTATCAGAAAACTCAAAATATCCTTTATTTACAAAAAATCTAAAGACAATTTAAACACAATATATTTACAAGAATATAATATTTACACTCCTTTAATCTTTCTTCAATTTTGTAATACTGCTTGAGGATGTTGAATATTAACAATACTTAAAGCTCTATTATTATCAATTCTAGTAGAGCTATTGTTATTATTTAATTGTCTATTCATTTTATTAACAACAATAACATTTTGTGTATTTTGAGAGGTTGAAATTAAAGATTGGTTATGGAGAAGAACAGATCGGATGACATTTTTGTAATGTTTAACGGTTAAAACGGTGACTAAAGGATTGAGAACAGCTATCCAATGAATTGGTAAACGAATTAACATCATCTGAAAAATTTTAATAAAATGATTATGAATTCTTCCTAAATAAAAAAATAATTTTTCTTACAAAAATAATTAGCGTTGTATCTTTAGAATTTCCAATAAGTTTTGTGTTGAAAGTTGAAAATATTAAAGTAAACCAAACTGGAATAATTGCTAGAAGGGGCAATAATGACTAGAAAAAAAGGAAATTTTTAAAATTTTATAATTTAAGATTAACTTGAATAAACATATTTAAAGTTAATTGTTGGTTAATCTCTCCAAGTTTATTTGAATTTGAATTAAAATTCTTTTTAACAAATTTACGCATTACATAAGTACAAATAAAAATAATCGTGTAAGCTAGGGTTATACATATCGTGACAATAAGCCAAACATAACTATAATAGTCACCCTTAAATTAAAATTTTGAGGATAGAAAAATAAATATTTTGATTGTAATAAAAATATTTTTTCGTTATGTAATTGAAACTAATTAAGGTTTTAATTTAAAAAATTAATAATAAATCTTAATAATAATCGAAATAAAATAATTAATTTACAGCTCTTTGAGCAATTCGAATCGGATCATCATTATTTCCATCCCAATCCAATAACTTCAAAATAACATCGCTTGAACAACAAATTCTGTGATTAGCATCAGGATACCCAGCAAAATATAAAAGTGTGGCAAGAATAAAATCCATAGTAAAAATTGTGCAAAAAAGGGCAATAAAATATTCTTTTGAAGTTATATTCATATTTCTAAATTTAAAAATAAAAATATATTTATTGTTAACTTATTTTCGGGAAAGAGTAGGAGGAAACAGAAAATTTTCTAGGACTAAGGCTGAAGGTTGTAACACTTGTAACACTCGGAAATTAGGCTTTCGATTAGAGCCAGAATAGAAATTTTCATTTTTAAAAATAATTACACATCCCATGCACTTAATAGGACTGTCCAAAACCGAAAAACTACCCTAGATAAATACACTACACAAAAAACCAAAAAAATAAAACAAAAGTCATATAGGTATGTATTGTCTATATTATTATAATTAAAAATAAATTTATTACTTATTTAAAATCAAATAACGATAAATAAATTGTGAAGTAAATCCAAAAAAAGAAAAGAAGAAGCAATTATCCCAAACAAAAAGAATTAAATTGTGAGGAATCCATTCAATATGTCTTAGAAGACCGTTGAGTACAACGATGCTTACACCGTTATCAGATGTGTAAATCTAGTAAAGAACATAATAAAATTTTTTTAAATTTATTTAAACAAAAATATTGTAAAATATTTTTTAATTTTTATTATCGGCACATTTATCCGACAAGTACCATTTAAGTTGCTACAAAATTCGTACCCAAATTTTTCTAAACAAAGACAAACCGGTTGTGTAAGTAAGTTAATTGTCAACATAGTTAAATCGGCGGTGCATGTCTGAATTAAAATATGGCTAAAAACGCGCATTTCTTTTGGACTTTTTCGAAGAATTAGCCAAATTAATAATGAATTAAAAATAACGCCAATTGAAAATGCAGAAATTGCACTGGCTTGGTTTATTTCTCGAATCATTAATTAAATCTCAAATTATAATCTAAAGGAAAAATAGATGATTTTTTTATTAATTAAATATATTTTTATTCCTTATTATTTTCAAATAAACATTTAAAAAACAACTAAATATTACGACGATTTTTACAAAATAAATGGGATCACCCCAGAGTATCGACACCCAAAGTATCGTGACCCAAAGTATCGAATTTTTTAAATTTCATAATTAAGTATTCCAATGATCGGGCATGATGTTCTAACATCGGGGAATTGTGTTTTCGATCGAACTGAGCATAGCGACCGAACAAGATTCTACTTGGAGATCGATCACTCTTCTTTGATTGGACATATTGATCATGATCGATGTTTGATCCATTGTTGGAACAATTTCCCTATGTTAAAAAGACTTCCCCGTCCTTGGAATACTTAATTATGAAGTTTAAAAAATTCGATACTTTGGGTCATTCGATACTTTGGGTATCGATACTCTGGGTGCGATACTTTGGGTGTCGATACTCTGGGGTGGACTCAAATAAATTATAAAGTTATAAATTTTTAAAAAAATATTATTTTCTATAAATAGTAGACATACATATATTAATATTTTTTAAAAGAATAAATATTTAAAATAAAAATAATTTATTAAAATTAAATATATTTCTTTAAAAATGTTGACATTTTAAGCTTTAGAAATATAATTTTTTTTATTATTAATAATAAATTTACCTCTAAACTAATTTAAAAAATTTTACAAAATAATGCAATAATTGTATGAGAATATTTAGATTTAAATAAAAAAATATTTTGAGAAAACAATGTAAGAAGCTTGCTAATAAATTAAAAGGTTTTAACGTTTTTTGATGCCTATAAAAATGATATCATTTAGAAAATTTGAATTATTATTTGTAAAAAGGCTTTAAAGTTTGAAATAGTTAATATTTAAAAATAACTATTAAATAATTAACAGTTAACATACTGAGCACGATAACAGAAAACCGCGATGTAAAGATATTTACTGGATCGCGATCCCAAAATCCCGGATTTTTTGAGTTTCGGGCTCTTTCGGGATCCGGGATTTTTCGGGATTTATTCAACGGGAGCCCGTCCCAGCATTGGTTAAGAACGAAAATGATCCCGGAAGTTCGTTTTGCTAGTCTCTATCTCAAACATATTTTGGAATTAAAAATATTCACAAAATTAAGTAAATGTTCATTCCAATCTCCAAAAATTTCATATTATTTTAAAAAGAGATTAAAGTTTCAAAAATTAAATCTTAAATTAATTATTAAAAAATATTTGGCTAGACTTTCTTTAAATTAATCCTCTCATTTTTATTTGGATAAAAAAGTTTCTACTCCACCTACGCTAAATTAAAAAGAAAATTTTTTTAAATAATTTTATAAAAATAAAATAATGGGAAATAAAAAAGCTTTGTTTAAATAAGTTTAATATTTTATATTTAAATAAATTCAAAAAATGAAACAAAAACTTAGAATATTTTGTAGTTTTCTTGGAATAAATTTTTAGAATTGAAATATGTCGTGACAATCTTATTTGTTAAAAAATTGAAATAAAAATTGTAATTTTTTAGATAGAGTTCGGACACAATTTTGTTATAGTATCACGTTCAATTTATCGCGTTTAATAACCCCTTAGAAAAATCGTGATTTTTCGTGATGTTTCGAATTTAGCTCGAATCTTGCACTGCTATGAATTAATTTAAATGAATAGACTTTAGTAAATGTTGTAAGTAAAAATATTAAATACTACAAACTTATTTAAATTGAGGAAAGAAATTAAATAAATAAAAATTTTTATCTATCGATCGAGTTTTAAACAATTTTGATTCTTTAGAGTTATTATTTTTAGGTCAAAATTTTAGTTTAGACAATCCTTAAGTTTTCCTATAAAATATTTTATATTTATTTTATTAAGAGACTTTGAATAATTTAAAAAATTATTACTAACACATTTACAAATATGTGAAAATCAAAAGAAAAAAAATTTCAAAAAAATTTTCTAACAAAAAATTATTTTTTAATAAAAATTATTTTGAATAAATTCTTAGAATCATAAAAAAAGAATATTCCAAATATAAGAAAATAAGTGAAAATTCCAAAAATATTCACACGCAAATATTTTATAGTTTGTCATTATATTTAAATTAAAAAGTTTTAAATGGAGAATAAAGATTAATTTCAAATAATAAAGTAGACAATTTTGTATTTTTTAAATGTCAACACGAATTGAAGAATTAAAATTAAAATAAATTCAAATTCAAAGTCTTATTAAAATTTATTTAGAAAATATTAATTAACCATTTTTAAAAATCTTTTATGAAAAAAATTGGAAGATTTAATTTTATTTGTACTTTTCTAAATTTATATTAATCCGTCATTTACTCATAGCTGATTGTGGTAAATAAACATCAATGCGAAGATGTCGACCACATCCACATTTGTTGTTATAATTAGTGTAAGAAGGGATTTGCTTGAAATTTAAATAATTATTAAATGGATTTTGTTGTTGTGAAGATAAATAAGGATTGTTAGTATTGTAGTTGTAATTGTATGTTGGGGAATATTGTTGGGGAGATTTATTCTTTTTAAAAAAATTATTTTATTGAAATATATTTATTTTTTATCAAAAAACAACTCAAGGCTCCAAAAAGAACCTCCACCCACTACATAAACACGCCTTCCTTAAATATAAAAATTACCTCAACACAAATGCAAATACAACTTGTTAATATTCGATCATAATTATTTGGGATACTTCTTTGTGAATAATAACAATGTTTATTCTCAACATTTTCACATAACGGGTAATGATCGAGTAAATCACAATCAGCAAAAGGTTCTTCCGTAGAAGAACAATTTTCTGTTTTATGCCGAATTGTGAGTAACTAAAAATTCTTGTAAAAATGATTGTTATTATTTTTTGTTTAATAAAATATTGCCTTTTGTCCATCATTTAAAGGTTTTTCTTCCTTTGAAGAGGATTGCAAAAATTTTGATCCAATAATTTTTCTAAGTCGACTTCTTTTATCTGGTAAACATATTTGAGCGGAAGGCACAAAAACTGTTTTGGAAGGACATTTCTTTATTTTCCATATTCCAATATCATTTCTTAATTTTTAATTATTTAAATAATTATTTATTTGAAAACCTTCCCAATTCTTTCGATATTTCTTTTGTCTGTTCACATTCAATAAATAAATTTTCCTCTTCTGCTGATCTTCTTAAATTTGGTAGCTGACATAACTCTCGAATAACTACGCCTTTTAGTAATTAATTTTTAAAAAGTTTCAAAACAATTTTAAGTAGAACTTGACTGAGTGAGATTATCATTATTTTTCGAGATATCAATCTCGATTCTTGTACAACCCTTTCACTCCGGTCTTTATTTATTAGTTAACAAGAATATTATTATAGTTATTTTATCTGAGCTATATACATATTTTTAATAAATTTTATCAAAATAATTTTTAATAATTATGTATCTTACTCTCAGTATTTGGATCCTTAGTATTTTTAAAACTTGTTGTCTTTTGAAGTAACAAAGTTGGAGGCGTGTAATAATATTCATTTCCGTCTAATTTTTCATTTTTATATTCAAAGTCGAAAGAAGTTTTTATATGGTTGGATCGATCTTTCTTATTCTCATTTTTGAAGTTAAAATCTTTATTTGATGATGATTCCTTAATTTAATACTAATATAAATTAATTAAATAACCATTGTTATTTAAATTAGCTTATTTTGTACTATTATTAAAGTAGAGCGTTTTAGAAAGTTTTTTTTAATAATTCCCTATTATTTTGATTTTACGATTTTTTTGTAATTAACAATAAAAATATTCAAGTACCTTAATTTCATTATTTAAACTTTGATTACTTTCATAAGGTATAGCTTTAACAAGGAAACTCCTCCCTTCGTTATTAAAGTTTTGTTGACATGGCTGATTTTGTGTAGGATTTAAAAATTGAAAAAAGTGAACATGTGTCGGGATAAAAAATGCTAAATATAATCTTAAAATTCTAATAGGTAAATGTTCTGACCATTTAGAAAAGATTTTTTATCAATTTGTTGAATTATTAAAAGTAGTAAACTTATAATTATTAAAGTAACATTCTTCATTTCTAAATTTTAATCAGATTAAATTTAAATCAAATTTTAATTTTTATAAATAATCTTTTTTTTTAATTTAAGTCCCTAAAATTAAAATTATTAGAATTAAAGTTGCATATGTGGTTAGCACTGCAGACAAAAATTTTTAAATTTTTGAAAGGCCAAGAAGCCAGAATTTCTACATTTATAACAGAATAAGTTTATACTTATTTATTAAAAAAACAATAAACGTTCCTAAAGTTCTACATATGATTATGATTTTATTTTCTAGACAAAATATTGAATATAAAATTAAATTAATTTTGTTGAAATAATAAACTAGATCAGTTACATTTATGAATTTAATCGCAAGTGGCCGTAGGAAATGATAATCGGATTAACAAGACTCACTTCTTCGAGAAATGTACAAAGATTTAATTTTTCTATACTTTAAAAAAGAATTCTTTTGTTATTTTATTTTTAGAAATGAGGAAGGAATTGAAAGTAACTAATAAATATATGAGGTAATTGCACTTTATCATCTAAATACTTAATCACTTTAAGTAATTTACATAGTAGAGGTAAATGGTATATGTTCAATTGTCGATTTACCTGCCCGCCATAATACCTCAGAAGAAAAATTCTGGATCGCACTGTTCGATCAAACTTTTGATATTGAATCGAAGAAGATTCCCGATTACTAGTTATTGAAGGTCTACTAGGTTTTTAATTATTGAAGGTTGAAATGAATTGCCAAGAATGTGATATCAATATGAACATAGAAAGAATGTTATCCAAAATCTATCATTTGTTAAATTTGATTTATATTTTTATTTCTCTATCAACTATTGTTTATCATTTTTTAGCACTCAGATCTAATTATTATTAGTTTTTAATTGCGTATATTTAAATTAGTTGTAACTTATAGATTTTATTAATAAAAAAATCGTTTAATAATAAAATTATCTTATCACAAAATGAATCCAAGTCTTTCACTTTAGTCTGTTGAAGACTCTCCAGTCGACATAGCCGAACCCGATGAGGAATGCCCACTATGGAATAGTTTGCGTCGCCATGGACGTTCATCACTAAATAGCATCACAACAAAGCAAATAAAAATGAAAAGAATCAGAAGAATAACTAAAAAATTTTTTTATATTTTTTTAAAAATATTATTAAGTAGTGAAAAATATTCTCTCTAAAGGATAATGTAAAATTTTGGAGGAAATGTGAGATTAAAATTAATTTTTAATTCTTACGAAAGACTATAATTCCAATATAAAATGCAAGTTTAATTTTATCCAAGCAAGTTCTCTTTCCAGATTTTATGCTTGAAGTTTCGCCGGCTGTCCAGTCTCCTTGTTGATTACTTTGTTTTCTTCCAGTTGTTGTATATACATGGGTGGGAATAGGGACGTGGTAACTGACAAAATCATTTTGATGTTGATTTAAATTTGACATTTTTAATTATTTTAATTCTAAATTTTTAATTAAATTTTATTGAAATTATTAGCAAAAAATTATTTTAGCTTAAATATCTCCAAAAGATGGGGGGGGGGGGGTTATTATTATTTCAATCTATGGGGTAATTACTAGAAGTGTGATAATTATTTGAGAGGGCAATTAATACAGGTTAAATTTCAATGTCACGGATCACTTCAACTTCCAATAATGGAACTGTCTTTATAATTAGGTTAGAAACAAAATCTTCGAGGGAGGTCTAGGCTTGGAATCAGGGTTAGTGGGGATGTAAAATGATTCTGCAGAAAGATGAATGTTTATTTTTAAATATTTTAAATGTTGTGTGAGGCAATTTAAGAATAATCACGAGGATAAATAAAAAAATTAAAAGTTAATTAAACCTAATTAAGTGTAAAGTAAAAATATCCGTTTGCTTCAATTGATTTTTCTAAATTTGGAAAGTTGGAAATGTGTGGAGGAAAAAGAACATTTGTGCAAATTAAACTCATGATTCAATTGAGAATTTAGAGAAAGCTTTAATAATTAGAACAATAAAAATACCCAAAACTTTGATAAAAGAATTTTATTTTTGTAAATTATTTTTAGACATTAAAAAAATTTAAAGCTGCAGAATTTACTTTAAGAAGAAGAAAGGAATTAGAACATTCAGGGAAAGAAATTAGAATATTAGACCAACAAATACCTAAATTTAAGTTTTCCAACATTCCGAATAGTTACCTAAATTTCTTTTTAAAATTTTTACAGAAAAATTGTATTCTGATTTGTAATTAAGGAATGGAGTTTTTCAAGTTATAATGGGTTTTGATCATCAATATATCTGCTATATATTTACCGTATTTTCTCTATTAAATGCCATTCTCCAGTTGAATACCTAATAGATTCTTTAAAAAAACTTTGGAAGGTGATTGGAAAATAGATGCCATGGCATTCTAATGGAGAAAATAGTGTATATAAAATCTAGAATATATTTTAACTAAACAAATTAAAATTAAAAACATTTCTAAAGAGAATAAAAATTTAAATTATTTAAACTCAATGTTTTGCCAAATAAAAAACTATTTTAATTCTCTAAAAAAAGTAATAAATCACTTTTTTTCTATTTATAAAAAGTCACATTTAAAATATTCTGTTTAAAACAATTTAAACGTTTAAAAATTCAAAAGGACAGTTTTTTCTTCTAATTTAAGTTCTCTACGTTTATTTACACTTGAATGGCCATAATATAGTAAATTAATTATTAGATTGGGTAGGAAAAAATTAAAAAAAATTTTTTTTGAATAATTAAAAGAGACAAATTTTGTGTATTTTTATATTTATAATTCAAACGATTGACGTACATAGGGAGTGGTTTTTATTAAGATTAAATTTAAAAAAATATTTTTTTCTAAATTAATTTTGATTGTAAAAAATATTTTTGTTAAAATTGAACTGAAATAAAAATTTAAAAATTTTTTAATAGAAAAACAATCCTCTAAATTATAAAAATATACATATAAATAAGAACAAAATAATTGAAAATTTGTCTTAATAAGACTACAGCAGACATGTTTCGAAAGTGATTTTAAAACTTGGAAGGCGAAAGACTATCAGAAAAAGGCGAAAATCGGTGCTAATTAGATAGGATATAATGTAAATCCTTTAATCTTAAATTTTTTTAAATTTCTTACCATCCATATTAGCAATTACCCCTGCTAATTAGATAGGAAAACATTGCGTAGTTAGGGAATGATTCTTTGCTCTCTTTAATTTAGTGATACAAGATCGGAAATTTCTCTAATTTAGATTACGCGGAATTAAATAAATCTCTGATTTGTTACTTAACAAAATTTATATCAAACATGTTTTTTTAATCGAGTCTATTTAAATTGTAATTCGTCATTTAGTTTTTTTTATTTTTAGAAATTAAATTATTTAAATAAATTAAAACTTTAAATTTAAATTAACGCTTTAATGGTCTAATTATCGGTTTTACTTCCTTATCGTCATCCCCTTCGGCAGAATATGGAGGTATTGATATTCGTGGCATAGAATCTTGTGGTTGTGCTATAATTAGTTTTTTTAAAATTCTTTTGATTAAGCAAGACTAACCCATTTGTCTCATATTATTTGATTGTGATTGTCGCTGTGGCTTGAAATTATCATTTGGCCCCATTTCAAGAACATCTAGTCTTTTTTCAGAACCGTAATCTAAAATAAATTTTAATTTTGTAAATTTTTATTTTAAAATCAAAATTTATATTACTAGAGCCATATCCACCCAAAACATCCCCAGTATCCATCATACCCCCAGGCATCATCCCAAGGTTCATCATTGAGCCTTGACTGCCACCCATACCTCCACCCATTTCCATTCCTCAAAATAAATTAATTTCCAGTTTTATTTAAAAGATATACCTCCTCCCATGCCTGGATTCATTGGACCCATTCCTCCTGACATTTGATTACCCATACCTTTAAATTGTTTAAGAGTACTGAAAATTATAAAAGTAATTACCATAATATCCACTACCACCTCCACCCATATTATTATTAAAATTAGAACGGCCAGGAGACATACTTCTTCCAGTGCCTCCAGTTCCGCCATTTAAAATATTATCAAGAGAAAATCCCGGATATATTTCGCCTTCATCATCATCTCCAGGAATTATTTTCTTTGGCCCTCTATTCATTTGTGATCCCATACCTTTAAATTATTGTTAATTATATCATTTATCGAGAAATTTAAAATAACAATAATTGCAAATACTTAAAATAAAGCAAGAATTTTGTGAATAAAAAATTTTGATTTATATGAATGAAAATAATTAAACTAATATGTAAAACAAAATCTAAATTTCTAAGATCACTTCTTAATTAGAATGTACTATCTAACAAAAAATAAAATACCTCCATTTTGTCCATTCATCATACTATTCATGCCTGAATTTATTAAAATTAATTCCAAACAGAATTGTGCTAATAAATAATCAGTATAATGAGGGTTATATTAATATTACAATTTAAACATTTTTTTGTTAAAACCAAAAAGTGTTAACAATATTTTATTTTTAGATAATCTTAAAATTTTTTAAATTTCTTACCATCCATCTGAGCAATTATTAAATGGTAATTTTCAAAAATAAAGAAAATAAAAATTAAAAATTTCATTTTTAATTTTACAATGAATTCTCTTAAAAAATTTATTTATTTTTATTTATAGCAATAAAAATTTTTTAATGTTATAAATAAATAATTTTAATCTAGTACTATAATGGAAATACAAAAGTAGTAGTTAAAATAATATTAGAAAATTCCAAAAGATTTTTTAATCGTAGTTTCATTTTCTAATTTTTATATTTTATTAAGAACAATAACAATTCTAAATTATATAATTAGATAAAAAAATCTATAATTAGATAAAGAAATTAAAAATATATTTATTTATTTATTGTTTAACAAAAATAAACAAAAATAAATATACAAATTTAGACTTTGTGCAAACAATAAAAGTTTTCCTTTATTTTCTTCGAAAAATATTTTGAACAACCAAACTATTGTTAATTATTTTTTTATTGTCTAATATATATTTATAAAAAATTTATTTTTTATTAAAATAAATTAAAGTTTTATTTAAAATTTTTGGATTTTTTTATTTTAAAATTAATATATTGAATAAGAAAATTAATAAACATACATAGTGTTCCAAATCAGCCCCATTTTTTGTTGATTTTGGACCTCGAGATCTCGAAGATGGAGTTGGGTTAAAATTCAGATTTTTTGCCATTCTTCATCATATCGCTAGAGAAGATCTCAGAATTTTTTTTTTAATTTTTTCTTTTATCATTTTCCATAAAAAACTACTAAATATATATAAAAATTTTCCTTATTTAAATTTCCGCGCACTTTTAAGGTCAACATAGATAAATGATTTTTTTAGAGTCCGGCAAAATCGCATTCCCGGGATCCCGGAACGGGATTTTTTTTCAAAATTTTGTACGGGACGGGATCCCGCGGGATTAATCCCGTAAATCCCGGAATCCCGGTAATCCCGTTTTCAAATTTACCGGGATCCCGCCGGGATTCCGGGATTTTCATAAAAAAATTTTTTAAATTATAAATATGTTGAATATTGGCGGATTTGGAAATAATATCGGTGGATTTCGACGGATTAAGGGATGAATGAATTGATATCAGAGGATTAAGAGGGATATCAGTGGATTAAGAGAGATTAAGAAGATTTGAATGCTTATAGGTGGATTTAGGGTGATATCGGTAAATTAGGAGTGATAAAGGGTGATTTGAAGAACGGTGGGTTAGGTCGAATATAGCGGATTTAGAGGCTCAACTGGATCTGAATGGATATATGGGGATTATTCCTCTAATCCCTCAATATACTCTTAATCCTCAGATCCTCGATATGCCTCTTAATCCATAAATCCCTGATACCCAGTATTATCCTCCAAATCCCTCTTAATTTGGTGTTAATCCCAAATTCATGATATCCTTTTCCAATACTCCAACATCATATATCTCTTAATCCTCCGCAATTGAACTTAAGACGATTTAAACCTTACAAACCAACGTGCACCTCACAATCCCTCTATATCTCAGTTAATCCCAAAGATTCATTCTTATTACTCGTAATCCATCCACCACAGCCAAAACTTTTCGAATTTTTCTTTATTTGGAAGGCTAAGAAGCCACCTTTTTTCACTTTTTAGCGCCGCAGGCGAAAATTTTGAGAATTTTTGAAGAGCAAGTCACCAAATTTCTTCCTTTTTCAGCGCCGCAGGCGAAAATTTTGAGAATTTTGGACGGCCAAGAAGCCAGATTTCTTCCTTTTTCAGCTCCGCAGGCAGTTTACTGGAGTAATTATAAATCCCGTAAATTTGAAAAAAATTCCCGGGATCCCGGAACGGGATTGGGTTTTCAAAATTCGACCGGGACGGGATCCCGCGGGATTAATCCCGTAAATCCCGGAATCCCGGTAATCCCGTTTTCCGCGAAAAACCCGGGATTCCGGGACGGGATCCCGTAAAATCCCGTACGGGGTCCCGTCCCGTGCCGGTCTCTAATTTTTTTACGCTAAAGTAAAATTTTCTTTTAATAATTTGTAGTCATTTGATAGCTTATAAATAAAGCTACAAAACTATATAAAAGTGAAGGTCCGAGATAAATGATTAGCTTAATAATTTTCAGAAATAAAATTAAAAATATTTTTCCCTATTTAAATGTCCGCCATTGTATTTCTCTATTTTTAAGACCTATTTGCCTATTTTTGTCACCTATTTCAGCATTGTATACAACCTATTTAGGTACCTATTTTAAGGTTTTTACGACCTAAAAATCCGATCCCTAATAATAAGATTGTTGACTTCCAAGCATATTATTTAAAATTTTATTTAATATAATAATAATAAAAAAGAATGGCAGAATTGTTAAAATTAAAAATAAAATGTAATTAATTAAATGTATAGGGCAGTAACATTTACATATTAAATAAAAAATGATAGGAAACCGGGAAATTAAGTTTTTAATAATTCAATTTAAAATGTTCCAAACAAAATTCAATCAGTAAATGTAGTCGTCGAGTTTGTATATTCTAAATAAAAATATAATTAAACAATATTTTTGCCTTGCCTAAAATTAAAATATTTCCAAAAAATCTTTTACTTTTTTCAACGTCCATAGGAAGAATAATATTCACGACGTTGATGAGCACCAGAAACACCTCCTTCCCCTCCTCCAGTAGAAGAAGCGGAAGCATAATAACCACCGCCGCCACCCCCTCTTTCTCTTGTTTGGCTACCAAATCTTTCTGTCCCTCCACCACTTGAATATTCACCTCCACCCCCACCAGCTCCTCCTGAAGAATAAAACTCTCCAGAACGGCTTTGTCTAAAAGCATCAGATCTATCTCCAACATGTTCTTCATAAACTGTTTCTCCTCCAACTAATTGCTCTTCCATTCTCGTTACCTTTAAACATTTGTAGAATTATTTTAAAATAAATTTAGGAATATTTTAAACAAAACGCCAATAAAAATATTTTTTCGTTAAAAAATTTCTTCTTAAAAATATACATAAATTTAAAAAATCAAAGATATTTTCACCTCAGTTGTAACCCTTCTCTCAATTTCTTCCCGAACAGTGTATTCACTGCTTGCTAGAGACCCCAGATCCTTTAAAAATATTTATTTTTTAAACTAAAAAAATTAAAACTTCGTCAAGTTTAGCTCTAGGTATTGTTAGAGGACCGTAAAGAGATTCTTGACTTGATGCTGCTGGACGACGGAAACAATGCAATCGAGAACAAAGATATAAACAACAACAAAGTGTTAAAATTAAAAATATAATTGCCAAAATGAGGAATATAATGAAAGGAATATGTGAAGCAGTCAAAGAGCCAGCTGGAGGTAATGCAGCTGCCAGTAATTGACAAGTACATTCCTATAATATTTTTTAAGTTTCATTATTCAGTTAAATAATCACCGTATTATTTGTTGTAGCATCAATTGTTTCATTACAGATAACTGTTTGCCATTCATTTGATGTTACATTTCCATCAACAAATCCAGGAGGACAACTATAAAAATTAAAATATTTTCAATTTTTTTCTTTTCAAAATGCCTGCAAGTATATCCTGTAGTGGAATTTTCACAATTTTTACAATTTTCTATTTTGGCAGCACAAACTTTGTAGGGATTTAAATATAATCCACTACTTCCAACTTGGTGGTCATTTTGTATATTTATCCAATTAATTAATGAATTAAATGCTCCAAGTGGATTTGGTAATGAACCATGACGGAAATAAAATATTGTATTGAATAGAATACCTTTGTTTATAGAAAAAATTGAAAAATAATTTTTGAAGAGAAATTAAATCTTTTTGAAGGTATGTAATATTTGAAGTTAAATTAAATTATTAGGGTCTATGTTAAAAAAGATTGGATACTTATCCGTTATATACACTCACAAACTGTGTGGTAGCCGAATTTGATTGGCTATAACTTTTTGATGCTTGATCCTATAAAAATGAGCGATATCTTTTTCCCAACTTGATAGTAGATCAGTTATGATCACTCTTCAAAAGGTTATAACCCGATAAATGTGAAAACCCAAATAGTCATCAGACGTGATCCATCAGGTTGGGAAAAAGAACTCGTTTATCGAGGGCTCTCGGATGATATAAAACTCATATTGGATCAAACATCAAAAAGTTATAGCAGAAAATAACTACTAAGTACCAAGGATTGTTTTTAATTTTTATGTGTCTAAGTTGTTTTAAATCAAAAAGAATAATGGTTAATCGAATTATAAACTCGATTTTCATAATTTTCACAAAGACAAGTCAAATACAATTAGATAATAAAAGTTTTTTAATTTAATAAATCCACATGATTTATTAATAATCATTACCCCATTATATAAAAATTATAATGGATACACCTTTTTGAATAATTTCTCAAATAAAATTCAAAATTACCATTTCCCTGATCAGGACAAGTCAAGTTAGCTACTTCTGTAGTAACCAAAGATTTACTAAAAGGTATTTGAGCAAAACTTTGAGTAATTCCTCCATTAAACGAATCACTATATTCTCTTAAATTTAATTATAATTTAAATTTTAATAAAGAATTTCCACTTACTTGGATAATTCATCTGAAGAATTGGAAAATGAAGAATTACAGAGAAGGGGATTGTGGTATTTCCGAATAACCCAAATTGGCCAAGTAAAGGCATCAACCTTTTAAATTGTAAATAAATTATTATAATTGTTATGACATCCTTTCAGAGAAATTAGGGAAATTTGTTTGTCAGAAATATTATTAAATTTCCAAAAATATTTAGGTGTAGGCATTAGGTAAGTTTCCCTATTATTTTAATGACAAAAAATTAAATAATTAATTTCTCCTGCTCTAATCATAAAAAATTAATTTTATCATTATTTACTTGATAACATTTCTCATTAGGTCCAGATCTTTTTTGCCCTTCTGGACAATCACAAGTATCTCCAATGCAAACCTCGCCCAATTCAGAACGGCAAATCTTTAATAAAAATATTTTATCCATTTAAAATTATTAGATAATCTTAACGACCTGCCCACCACAAGTTTTTGGAGGAACAATTAAAGGAATACAAACTCTCCCAGGCAATTTTCCACTGTCATTAGATTTGTCATCAAAACCAGTATTGCCTTTTGATAAATAAAAATTAAATATTTAAAAATATTTTTTTACAATGGCAAGTATATCCAGAAGCCAAAGGAATACAAGTTGCATATCTATCACAATCAGATGGAACGGGGCAGCCAATTTGAGTTTCAGCTTTCTAAAGGATATGAGAATTATTTATTAATTTGTTGCTTTTTTTAAAGTTTATTATGCCCTCTACAAAGGTAAGGTGGAGATCATCTAATAATCTCCACCATGGAATTCATAGTTAAGGAATCGCAATGGTCATGCTTCGCTGCGGCTATGATTGCTTCGCTCGCCACTGCAAAAGCTTATTTCGTGGGAATCATATAATGAGTCAAATTTTAGTTGATTACAATTTTATAGTTTATAAATTAAAACACAAACATTTGGTTGACAATTTGGATGAGTATTGTTTGAATTATATAAAGCATCTACATCAGTGTAACCAGGCTTACAAGCACAATAATAAGAATCAACTGTGTTTATACAATTAGTGCCTGGAGGACAACTAAAGAATTAAACTTTCTTCATTTAAAAAAGCTTGAAAAATTACGGATTATTATCGCATTCATTAATTTGTTTTTCACAAACAAGTCCTGATTGATGTTGACGATTAGGCGATAAATCTACATAACCTTGATTACAACGGCACTCAATACTTTAATAATTTAAATAAAAATTTAGTTGTTAGGGGAAAATATTGGAAATGCTTAGCTTAAACTAAGGTTTCCAACTCGCTGATAATAAAGTTCGATTTTAAATACTTGGTACCGTTGCACTCTAATTGAAGGGAGAAGCCATAGTTTAAATTAAATTAAACAATAAATTAATCACTTAAAATGAATGATAATAAATTAATTGATTAATTAAACTTGATAGGAAAACTCCCGTTAATGAATAAAATTCTATATTATCTGACTTGTGAATTATTTTTCTTCTATTTTAAGTAAAATAATAAACAATGAATACCCAAAATCTGTGTCTGTACATATTGCATTTGGTGAACAATGAGAAGTACCGTCCGAGCACCTTTGCGGTTTGACACAGACACGACCTGCTTTATAAACCTTAAATTGAAGGTTATTTGTTCTATTTAATTCTTAAAATATTCAAATATATAACTAGCCTTATCAGGACTTTGATCTAAATATCCACTAAAGCAAACACAATAATAACTATCATCAGTGTCATAACAATGGGCATTTACATTGCAATCATTATCCTCTTTTCGAAGACATTCATTACGCACTTTTTTAGGAATATTTTTTAAATTTTTATTCTATTAATACTTACAACAAACATTAGTGATTGGATGTCGTTTTTCCCCAGCTGTACACTGGCAAGTGTATTCAGCACTCAACGAGTAGGTAATTGGGGCTCCTTTAAATTTTAATTAAAAATTATCAAATTTTTAACAAAATTATTTTTACTTGTTGCGTAAGTCGGTTCATTACGTTTTCTATGCCTTTTATAAGTCTGTTCTACATTACTGCTAACTTCAGCAGGGGCAACTTGCTGTTGGTTGGGTAAACACCTTTCTCGTTTACGTAAATCACAAGAATAAACATCTGAAGGATCACATTCTCCAGGAGAAAGACATTTTGCTGTAAAACAGTTGGCATAGTTAAATAGAAACTCATCTTGGTACTATCGGTTTATCCACCTACATTTTATTATTCTCCTTCGCAATGGGTTAAAAGTGAAATAATTTAGTGGATCAAAAAACTTCAGAGACTACCCAAAAACTTTAAAGATCCAAGAAAAAACATTGAAATATCTAGCAGAGTGAATTTTTTTGAAAGGATCTATAAGTGGGTATCTGGCCAAACAATTATTATAGTTATACATATTTTCTATAATTTTGAGAAGGAGAAAGGCAAAAAAGACTTCATCATTGTTTTATGAATGAAATATGCATTAAACAATTTAATTTTACAAATAAATTCACCAGTTCTTGGATTTAATATTTTCCCTCCATAACATGGAGGTGCAGGAGGCATAGGTTGGGCTTTAGTAGAAATACAAACGCCTGAACGAGATTCTCGCACAAATCCTGTTGGACAAACACAACGATAATTTCCTAGAGGAGTACGTCTACATATCTGATTATTAAAAGTAATTTTGCTTTAAAAATTATATTTACTTCAGGATTTGGACACGTGGTAGCTACTTCTTGATTACAAATATCACCACCACAAATTTTTGTTTTAGGATGGGCAGGGAAGTCATCAGGGCATTGGCAAGTAGGTCTAAGAGAGTTATAATTACATCAATATACCTAATTAGTTTATTTTATAAAACTGACTGTCCTCCAACAAGTTGACAAATTTGTCCCAAAGTTCTATCACAACCTTCTTGTGTATCTGGACTACATAATCCATTGGGAGGATTTGGAATATGTGGAGGCGTTGGACATGCCAATTTTTGAACAAGAGAACGCAAACGTGTATTTAAATCTTTAAATCCTTCTACCAAGAACCATCTAAAAAATATTTTAAAAATTTAACAATTTTTCTGATCTGGTTCAGAAAGTAACATACATACTATATATGTATTTGTTTTTAAAATTTCAATTTAATTATCAATTTAATTATCAATTTTTTCAATAAAAATTCACCTATTTGGTGAACCAGCAATTAATTCTAATTCTGTAGGAGAAACATGATCAGTAACTCCAATAGCAAATATATTTATTTGGTAAGATCTAGCTGTTTTAGCTGGTTGGGTAACATTATCTGAAATTGTAGTGGAATAAAGAAATATTTATTTTAATTTTGCCTTGGCTTCTCCCATCTGTAATAATTACAGCTACACGATTAGCACCTTCAGAAATTGGACGCACTCCACGGCGATCAGAAAATCCCTCATTTACCATGTGTTCTATAGCAGCGCCAGTTCTAAAGGATTTTTTTATTTAATTTATAAAATAAAAAAACAAAAAATAAAATAATTTTTTAAAATTAAACTTGCCTAGTTAATCCAGTCAAATAATTGATATTATCAACTGCTGCAAGTAAAGATTGTTTATCAGAATATTGGTTAAGTCCAAATTCATGCCGTACTTGGTCAGAGTATTGAATTAAACCTACCTATATATTTTTAAATTAATTACTGTATCTACTCGACTAATTAATTTGAAGGGGGCGGGGGTAATTATTGAATGAGGGTAATTATTTCGAACTACCATTATTTTCTAAATCAAGATTTCTTCTGATATTATTTAGGTGTCAATTTTTATAATCCTATTTAAATACAAGAAAAGTAACTGGACCCTCTGTATATATTTTCAGAAATCACTTAAATTTTAGAGAATTTTGTGTATAAAATATTAATAATTTAATCGAGTAAATGCCGTATTATTATTTTTAAATTAATATTAATTAATTTACTCTAGTGTTGTCTAGTCCAATATCAAAAAGTTCGATAAATTCTTTAATAAATCGCAAAACCTCATTACGAAAAACCTGAAAAATAATATTGTTTAGTATTATATAATTCTAATACAAATTAAGACCGGATCTCGCTATAAGAAACACTTAGGGCCAAAATATTGTACCTTACCGGGGTATAACTTAGTATATAAAATATTTTCTCTCACTTGAGAACCAATTGACCCAGAACCGTCAATCAAGAATATTAAATCAGTTTTTTGTTTTGGACAGCTAGTTTCAACAGTACAAACTCTTCCAGGGGGTAAATGTGCAGATACAGAAACATCAATATAGCCGCTAAAGCACTGACAAGTATATCCTTGTGGTGTATCTATACAATCAGCACTCTCGTCACAAGTGTTAAGAGAACGTTCAGCACATTCATTGCTTGCTAAGTAAATTAGGGAATTTGTACATATTTTCTCTTAAAAATATTTTCAAGTTTTTTTATTCTCTTACTATTTACACATTTCCTTCCAGGTTTCAACCCAAATTGATGTGAAACATCAGTGTACCCATCATTACATTCACATTCATACCCATCCTTGTTGTCTATACATTTTGCATATGGTGAACATTCATGACGATCAACACATTCATTTGTTACTTAAAAACATTCTTTTAAATTAATATTTTCTTTAAAAAGATACATTCTTTGCATTCCCGTCCAGGTGTTACCGGATCAACGTCAAAATACCCCGGTTTACATTGACAAGTATATGAACCGAGAACATTAATACATAAAGCATTTTTGTCACATTCAGGGTCAACCTAATTTTAATCAAAAAATATTTTTGCAATATTTTTTGTTAACTTGACAAGCCGCAGTAAGTTTACAAGCCCCTCCAACCAAAACAGATCCTTCTGGACATTTACAATAATCATCCACGCAAATCTAAAAATTATTAGGGATCATTTGGAGGGATATTGAAAATTGATTTGTAAAAAAAGTCATCTAATCTTAACAAAAATTTAGATAATGTTCAATTTCTTAATCACCTGTCCATTCGGACAGTGATGAGAACCTCCACATTGTTTAATATTAGTAATATAATGTTGTTCTTCCACTGCTTTGTTGCATGTACGTCCAGGGTATTTAGCAACATTTGTAGATGCATCAACATACCCTTTCTTGCATGCACATGTATAACTAAAAAATTACTAATTAAATTTAATTTAACTCAATCATGAATATTTAATTTCTGTGGTTGTTTAATAGAAAATCGAGGCAAGTTCAGAATAGAGTAATCTCCAAAACTAACCCATCTTTCGCATCCGTGCAAATAGCATTTTCACTACAATCATTTTTTGTTTTGTCTTCACATTCATTAACAGTTTGTATACATTTACGGCCAGGAAGTAATGCATAAGTTTCAGATACGTCTGAATATCCAGGATTGCAACGACATTCGTAACTGCCACTTGTGTCGGTACACGCAGCATTTGCATCACAATCGACACCTTGAAACAAATTATAATTTTATTTCGGAGTACTTCCAACGGATGAAGAATATTTGGAAAGACATTGATTCCTAACTATCTTACCATAAGTATGAGGGCTCTGACACTCATTTTGTTCCTTTCGGCATACACTTCCTGGCCTCCCCCGTTTAGATACATCGGCAAACCCAGGTTTACAATGACAAGAATATCCTTCCGGCTAAATTATTTAAATATAAAAAGCTTCTCCTAAATTATTTTCTCTCACAAGATCTTTACAAATGGCATCTGTTGAACATTCATTAAGTTTTGGATCGCTACATTCATCTATAGCTAGACAACGTCCATCTGGTAATCTAGAATAACTACTTGCACAAGTACATTTATAGACACCATCGAGGAAGGAACAAACCTTTAAAAGTTTGGGGGATTTAGCTGATTATTTTGAATTTGGAGTTTATAAAAAAATCTATTAGAGTTGAGTTGACTTAAACTGTTTTTTAAACTAGTCTTGAATTAAAAATTAGCCAATAAATATTCTAAACTTTACAAGATTTCCCCTTATCATTTTTAGTTTTTTTGGATAATCATTTCTAAACTTCCATTTTATAAAATTTTATTTCATATAGCCAAAACTATTAAAGTGATCAATTTGAAATTTTTACTTCATGTTTTTGCCGACTACAACTCAAAGGATCATTTACATCACATTCTCCCGGTGCTCTGTAAGCTAAAATTGCTTAATAAAATTATTATGTATTTTTTATGTTTAAATTTCAATACTTTGTCTCTCCGATTTTACATTTAATAAAAATATTAAGAGAATAAATAAAGTTAAGGATTTATTAAACTGCTGTTGAGGCATTTTTATTCTTTAAATTAAAAAAATTACCCTGAAAATTTTTTTGCTTTGTAATTTTTATTAAATTTGTTAAGCAAAATTGCTAATTAAAATTTTGGTTTAATAAAAGCTATTTATTTATTATTAAAATTTTAAAAAATAAGGATTAAGAACAAACATACTAAACAAAAGATTTGGTAAAAACACAATCTAAATGCCTCGGGATCATAATCAGAAATTGGCAAATCAAAAAAACACGATCAAAAATATGTCAGTTTAATCGTAAATGCTTATATAATTACCCTCTCTCTCAAATAATTCCCCATCTCTGAGTAATAATTAGTCCCTCTAGCGAGAGTTTAAAACAACAATTGCACAGGGTAATTTTTAGCGGTATTTATTTAGAAATGAGACATGATACTAAGCAGAGTTTGGAATAAAATGCTTTTTATTTAAATCATAGAATAATGAAATTTTTTTCGACAAGATTGATTAAAATCTTAAGAAAGACAAATTATTTAGTAAAAGTTGATGAACGTAGTAGACGTTATATCGAAGGTTCTAAAATAGAGGAAACAATATCTTGGTATTTGGTCAGTTTCCCTATGTCTTATAGTATTCTAAAAATTTTTTAAATTAGTCATCACTTAAACTAATTTAAATTTTTCGAAAAAGAAAACACAAAAAATAAAATTTAATTTTAAGAGCAAATTTAATACAAATTAATTGTGATGAACGATAAATGAAATGAGAGAAATTAGTTGTGTGGGGTGGTGGTTGTGGCTGTTTGTTTGAAATAATTCGCAATTAAATTTAATATTGAAAAAGTGAAAACAGGAAATGAAGAAAAATTTTATTTTAAATTTTGCTAATGAAATATTTTGAAATTATTTGAAAATTTTAAATAATTTTTTGAATAATAAAAAATAAATAAATATTTAAATAATAATAATGAATTATGTATTTTAAATTAGTGTAAATGAAGGCACCATGATTGTTCGGCATGGTTAGGTTCTACCGCGGTACCATCCAAAGTATTTGTACTTCGGGACTACCGGCACGGTACTGATAAAATTTTGAGAATTTTCGGTACTTGTTAGCTGGTACCAAAAAAAATCACTTTTTTATATTTTCTTCAGAAAAAAATATTTTTAAGACTAAATGAATGTTTATGTGTAAATAAGCTTTTAAGAAATGAAATTTAAAAATAATTGAAGATTCAATTAAGTAAAAACTGGAATGTAAATTTTAATTAGGTAAAAATTTTAAATAATTCAATAAATACATTTTTAAAATGCAATATAAATCCATAGATATTTTAAAAAAGTTTTTTTAATATGTGTTAAAAAACATAAAAATAAATTCAATTTTGGCCATCTAAACAACAACAGGTTCTTCTTTTTCCCCAAAAACTAAAACCGCAAAAAAACATTTTTATTTACAAAACGTGTGATTTTATTTTTCTTTCCTTTTTAATGCAACCAAAACGCCTAATATTTATTTTTTCTTTTTCCAAAAACATTAAAGTAAAAATGTTTCCACTAAAAAGCGAAAAAAGAGAAAAATCAGTCAGTCGTACAATGGCCGCAGGGAAATGGGACACTAAGGCGCGGGCGGGACTGGCAGGAGATTTTTTATAAAAAATATTTTTAAAAGTCGATACAATTAAGTAAATAAGACTGATATTTTATTTTTACACAAGCAATAACAATATAAAATAAATTTCTAGAAATTGAATTAACTAGGATTATTACATATTCATTTCTTTTGTTTATTTTTCATTTATAACAATTTATAATAACTTCTTTTCTAACATTTAATATAAGTTATTGTTGCATCTAAAGTTAAAATAATAAATATTAATTCCTTTAACACCTTAATTAACCTTTAGCAACACCAACAATTCCACCTTTCGGCTCGAGATAATTAAAAGCGTCAGTAGACAAATCTACATGATTTATTGCACATTCTGGGCATTTATTGTTTATTGGAACTGTTAAACTGTTAAAATTGAAAAAAGTTTTTAAGGATTTTAGATAAAAATTAAACGTTTTAGCAGCCGAACACCCAACACATTTATAGGTTATTTTAACACATTTACTCATACAAATTGGGTCGTTAAGTACATAACGCTTGTCTTTAAAACATGATTCGACCCATTGTCCACCGGGGTTGAACAGAGAGCCTGAAGCAGCGGCGGAGAATTTTGGCTAAATTATTGAATGTTTTGGGATTATTTTTAGAGAAATAATTATTATATAAATTTTTGTGACAAAAATATCAAATTTTGACTTTTTATTTATTTATTTTAACAGTATTTGTATGCTAATATTTATTAGCAATTATTTAATCGTTTAAAATTTTTTCCATAATTTTTACCTCATCCATATCATATCCACAAGCTCCACGTCCACCAGTTCCATAAAATGTAAATTTCCCATTAATTGGCTTATTAAGATTTGATTTAATCGGCCCATTAGCCTTAGATTCAGAAAGGCAAGTATCTTTTTCTGTATATTTTGCCTTAACTACTTTATTATTTCCGTCATTAATTGGAGGGTTTGGTTTTTTTGGATTAGAAGGGAGTTTTGGATTTTTAGGTTTTTTGGGGGGTTTTGGAAGTTCTGGGCAGTCTTTTGGTTTGTCTGGAAATACAAGGGCAACATTAATAAATATTATAAAAAATATTAAAAGCAAATTAAATTCCATTTTTGTTAAATTATATTTTAATTAAATAATTTTAAATAATTTTTAATTTAATTTAATTAGTACATTCACATATTTATATATTAAATAATATGCACTTTAATATTTGTTCAGAATTACAATTAAAATAATTATTCCAAAATTTAAAGTCTAACTGATTATTTAAACATTAAACAATGAAAAGTACTTTTAGATTATTAAATTTATATGTTAAAAATTTATTGTCTTGAGAGAATTTGTTAATATAAATTTCATACTTAATTTATTCAAGTTTATAATAGCTAAAGTTGAGGAGGTTGATTTTAAATTATTTAATAAAAATTTAGAGGGTATAAAATTATGCTTAATTAAATTTTAGCCAGTTTAATTTTCTGATTATTAGGCATCTTATTTAGTATTTTAATTTGATTTTATAAAAATATGTAAAACTTACATAGTAAAATATTTTATCATTTTCCCTAAGGTTTCTTTTTATTTTTCGTTTAGTGATATCTTGAATTTATTTTCTTGTCTCGATTTAATTTTTCGGGTCAGATTCTACACAATCAAAAGGGGTGTAGTAGTACATCCATATCATATCAAAATAATTTTATTTAATCTAATTCAATTTTATATTTAATTTACTAATTATATTCTACAATAGTTAAAATAGAAAAGGAAGAATTTTATAATTAAAGCTTTTAATTTTAAAGAAATTGAAAAGAAGTTTAATCATCTACTAAAGTTCTAGCAATTAATGTAGGTGATTGTTGCATCTAAAATAAATATTTTTGAATTAAATTTAATCAATTTATTTTAAATAAGCTTAATTAATATAAATAATCCATTTAACATAATCAACTAAGATTACTTTAATTATCTTTTTATAAATTTATTTAAATTCACCCTTAGCAATACCAACAGTCCCTCCCTGAGGTTCAAGCCATTTAAAAGCATCAGTAGACAAATCTACGTGATTTATTGCACATTCTGGGCATTTATTGTTTATTGGAACTGTTAAACTGTTAAAATTGAAATTAAATTTTAAGAATTTTAGATAAAATTAAACGTTTTAGCAGTCGAACACCCAACACATTTATAGGTTATTTTAACACATTTACTCATACAAATTGGGTCGTTAAGCAAGTAACGCTTGTCTGACAGACAAGAAGGAACCCATTGAGCAGCGTTGTTAAAAAGAGAACCTGACACAGCTGCCGACATTGTTGGCTAGATTTTAATTGAACTACTTATTTACTGAGTTTATTTAATATTCGGGATAAGTGTTTGGCATATACTTATCTACTGAGTTTGAGCTAAATACAAAATAACCAGCCCGAATCATAATTAAATCAAAAAACACAAATCCTTCTAAGAATATTCAGAGACAATATCAAAAATTTAAATGGATTCTATTTAAGATGAAATAAATAAATTACAGCATCAATATCCAATCCACAGGCCCCACGTCCACCAATTCCATATAATGTAAATATACCTCCATTAATTGGTTTATTAAGGTTTGAAGTAATTGGGCCAGAAGCTTTAGACGGATTAAGACAAGTATCTTTTGTGGTATATTTTGGGGAAACTACTAAATTATTTTGGGCTTTAATGAGTAAAATAAAGGTAAAGAAAAGGAAAATATTTAAAAATAAAGTTTTGCCTTCCATTTTTTAAATTTAAATATCTTTTTGATATTTTTAATTGAATATATATTTAATGATAATATTCTTGTATTTATATACTACTTAGCTTAACATCAAAAAATAATTTAAGTACATATTTGTTGAACTTTTTTAAATAAAAAACAATTGCTTTGTTATTTTTTTAAATTGAAGGTTTTTTTAATCATTTTTTATCATATTAAAGTATTGAAACAAGGTGAATAAACCAAATAAATTTAAGTACATATTTCTTTAATTAATTGTTGAATATTTTTATTTAAATTATTTTGTTGTTCCAGATTCTTTTTTTATATTCAACCAATTTAGTTTATTAGACGTGGTAAAACTTTTTGTGAATTTATAATAAGTAATATGTAAGCAACACACTCAAAAGTATGGAAAGTGAGGTGTTTAAAATTTAGATGAATTATGTCGCCTGTAGATCTACACAGCAAAATATATCTGAACAGCACCGTGATGAGTTTTGGTTCTCCAGAATACCGAAGGTGATAATAATTTAATATCCCTATGTTATTTACAAAAATTTTTATCACAATTAAAATCAATATGATTAATAAATTTTAAACTAAACTACAAAAAGTGAATAAATAACAATTTAATATGGAAAGAAGAAATTTTGAATTAAAAATTTTAAAAGCATAATTTTAAAGAAATGATTAAAAAATAAAGAAAATTGTTCTTAATTAACATTCATTTTTTATGATTGAAATTTTATTTTTTAAATATTTAATAATTCTCATCAAAATTATCTTTATTCTCTTCACAATTATTTTACTATTTTCTTTAATTCCTCACCCTCATCACTATTGATATATTCCCCATATTCCATCGAAGGTTCCAAATATCCTAAAATTATTTGAGACCTCTTCTCCAATTCAAAATTAATTATTTTCATTTCCCCATCTTCAAAATCTTCATTTTTAAAAGTTTCAATAATATTTAAATATAATCCATATTTAAACCCTTCCAAAATTTTTTTTTCATCATTTTTAATATTTCCAATAAATTTAAATAAACATTTAAATTTATTATCTTCTTTAATTTTAACAAAAAATTTAAATAATTTATCTCCATATTTTTGAGATAAATTAATAAAATATTCCCCTTTATTTTCAAATTTAATACAAATCTGGATATGAGAATATTCTTTTAAATTTTTATTTTGTTTGCCAATCAAAGATGTTTTCTCCAAATTTTCGATCAAATTATTTTTTAATTTTTGAGGTCTTTCAGTTTTCAAAAACAAAATTAATTTAATTAATTTAAATTCTGTGTAATTAAAACAATAAAGGGTCTCTACTCCATCAATAATTACTTTCATAATTTTATAATTATTGCCTTGAAAAATAAAATTGTTTTCTGTTAAATTGTTTGTATTCACATCAATTTTTGATTTAAATGTTGGGCGAAGTTCTGCAAGCAACTAAACATTTTTAAAAATTAAATATTGTTTATTTACTAATCTAGGTAAATTTTAAATTATTTTTTAAATTTATTTTACTTATTTTCGGGAATTATCTTTATTTAAGAAAAAATAAAGGTACCGGTAGTAAAATAAATGTACTGGTACCGCGGTAGTATCGAACCGTGCCAAACATTAACTATAACCACCAAATAATTTATATATTAATTAAATAAAATTCTAAATTTTATTTTTAAAATTCTAAAAACTTAAAAATATTGTTAAAGAAAATTTTCGCCTTTAAATTTCAAATTTCTTTTCCTTCGAAACCCCTTCAGCTTATATCATAAAATTAAATTCCAAAAATTAAAATAATTTTTAAACTAAAAATAAATACTTCTTACGTAATTATAATTGGAATTCCTTTCATGTTTAAATAAACAAATATTAAATCCAAATTTAACATTATCACTCAATATTCCTTTAAATAATTTATATTTTTTGCCTCTTTTTAATTTAATTCCCTTTTCAAAATAATATTTTGTTTCAGACCAGTAATTACATGAAGGGTTTAAATCCAAATTTAAATAAAGAGAAAAATTGTTGTGAAGACTGGAATCAAGTTCAACTAATATTTCCAATTTGTTGTGTTCATCATCGAATTTTTCAAGATTAATTTTTAAAATTTTAATTAAAGGACTTCCATTTATTTTAAAATTTCTTTCTTTATATTTTAATTGAATATTTGAAAAAACAAAGGAGAATAAAAGAAATGAAATTTGGGCAAAATAGATTATTTTAAACATTTTTTAGTTGTATGTTTTAATCTAAATTTTAAAATTAATGCACATTTTGAAACATAAACACAATTAAGTGAATGTCTTTCAAGCGAATAAAAATAATTTTTTTAGTTATTTATTGAGGAAACGGGATAAATTCTAAACAATTAGAGGAAAGTATTTAATAAAAAAAATAAAAATGATAATTTTTAATTTAAATTATCGTTTTTATATTGTATTTATTGCTTGTACTTTTAACACAAAATAAATACAGTCTGTTGATCAAAATTATCTATAAAAAAATTTTCCATACTCGTGGAAATCACAAAAAAAGAATATAGTAAATAAATATTTCTTAATTTATTATTTATTATCGAAATATTTTTTGTTTATATCTGCAGAAGATTTTAAAAAATCTTTTTAATTAGTTCAATATTATTGAAAAATAGAAAAACAAAATTATCACATTTCCATATAGGTATTTACTTGGAATTAACTTAGTATTTGGATCAATTTAAAATTTATATTTTTAAATTTTTTTTCCTTAAAATTAAAAATTATTTTGTTTATATTTTAGAGAAAGTAAAAATTTTAATTAAATTAAACGTCAAAAATGTGTTATGATGAAATTAATGAATTATCTATTTTGTTGTTGATTATGTACATTACATCATTTTAAAAGTACAATTAATGATTAATAAAACGTTTGCTAGTACTATATTTAAAATACAATTTGATTTAGGCATAAAAAAAGAAAATTTTTAAATATTTTTATGTTTTTTGATCAAATAAAGTATAACCGACGCAGATTTTAAATAATTCCTTTCATCTTTATCCGATCTGGCAGATCTTAATTTTAAAAAATAGCTTGATTTCTGTCCAGTTGACATGTTTCAGCGTTTTTCGAAATTCTGATATTTTCGAAAACTTTTCGACCGGTCTAACAAGTACTACATTTTTAACTTTTCGGAGAAGTTGAATTCTATATTATTATTGTCTATATTATAATTAAAAATAAATTTACTTATTTAAAATCAAATGACGATAAATAAATTGTGAAGTAAATCCAAAAAAAGAAAAGAAGAAGCAATTATCTCAAAAAAAAATTAAATTTTGAGGAATCCATCCAACATGTCTTAGAAGCCCCCACTTTAAATTTTTTCAATGTTTGAATAAGCAATATAAAAATGTTTGTTTAAAATCTAATTGTTTTGTATAAGTAATGAATGTTTTTATTATACAAAAGAAATTAGATATAGCCAACTAATTTACTAAATAAAATTTTTTGTAAAATCACATTTTATAATATTTTTGATTCCACAAATATTTACTCATTAATCTATATAATTTTGAATAACATTTCCCTCATAATATATCCATTCATAATGAATAACTTAAAAAAAGATAACGAAATAAAATTACAAAATTTGGATGTGCAGAAAGAGTTTAATGATAGCAGCGAAGAAACTGAAGTATATGTTTAATTAACTAATAAATTGTTTAAACTGTCTTCTAGTTATTAATGTATATCGAGTGTGAAAATTTCGAAATTTACGACTAAATTTTAGGATTAACTCATACCTCTATTTAACACATCGCTTTGTAACTAGAGATTAATTTCAAAAATGTGAATAATTTTGTTATGAGAATTTAGGGTTAAATGTCTAAATGTCGTATATTTTCATCACATAAAACTCTAGAAAGTTGGAATTCTATTAAATGTATTAAACAATTTAAAATTTATTTATTAACAGTGTACTAGCGAGAGAGAGAAAGTTGAACGTGAATTACGTGCTGAGAGGGCCCGCAAGAAAGCAGAAGTGCGCAAACGTTTGGAAGAGGCTGGGCGTGCCAAAAAGGCCAAAAAAGGCTTTCTGACACCCGAAAGAAAGAAAAAATTGCGAGTAAGAAAAATTAAAAATTTCAAAATTCTGCTTACTTGTAGAAATTGCTCATGCTAAAGGCTACTGAAGATTTAAAATTACAACAAAAGAAACGTGCAGAAGAGAGACAAATTGTTTTAAGTGAACGTATTCCTACTTTACCTTCTGATTTGGATAATATACATCCAGGTAAGTTGAGGGATTCTAAAGATATATATTTGATTTTAATTTAGATGAGTTACTTATACTCTCAGAAGAATATAGAAGCCGTATCATAGAATTGGAGTCAGAGATTTACGACCTTAGTTATATGAATAGAAAAGTATTAAAATTTATTTCTTTTAATTTTTTTGAAAATCAAAACCGATTAGGAATTGTTCTGGAGACCAAGACTTTTTATTTATCGGAGAGGGAACGTCCAAAATTTTTTTAACCCAAAAAATTTTTAATAATATATTTATAGATAACTTTTAAAAATTTAACCAGAATTTTTCTTTGTATCTGTTATTAAACATAATTTTATTTAATTAAAAAATCTTTTCAGAAGGATTTTGAAATTAATGAACTAACAATCGCTGTAAATGATTTACGTGGAAAATTGTAATAAATATTCTCATAAACATTAATATAAAATATTTCAATTATATTTAGTGTTAAACCAACTCTTAAGCGCATAAGCAAAACTGATTCACAGTTAGCTAAATTTCTTTTCTAAATTAAATTATAAATTTAAAGATTCGACAAAATAAAAAAGCAAAATGCTGCTAAGGTATTTAAATTTTGATATCTCATAAAATTGTTATGTTCAGGTTGATTTTCGTTCGACATTGAAGACACGTGAAGGAAATAAATTTACGATGGAAGAGGTATTTAATTATTTTACGAATGAATATTTTATTATAAATAATTAAGGAAAACAAACAGAAGACTAGCTCTGCTGAATGGATAAAATGATAGAAAAAAAATTCATTGAATATTTTAATGCGATAATGATAATCTTTTCTTGAATGATTTAATTTGTTTTAATATGTTAGAAATTTCTAAGGAATATTCAGAATAAACCAGTACTGGCCAAAAATTTTCGTGTTGTCATTGCAATTGGAGCCTAAAGAAAAGGCTATAATTCTCAAATAATTTTAAGCCTTTTTATTTTCTTAGCAAAGAAATATCCTTATCATTTTGTCCCTATTGCTCAATTTAGTTAAAACTAGTGAAAATATACGCAGAATATTGCTTATTATTTGAGATTCTAATTAGTTTTTAAGTTCTTAAAATCATGCCCTATTTTTGCCACATTTTTGAGTGGCTGTGCCGTATTTTAGTAGTTTGGAAAGGGTCACCCAAATCTTGCTACACTTTTGGCTCACCCTATATGTATTTCAAAATGATTGTAACGTTCAAATTAGAATGATAAATTCACGTTAATTTATCAATTAAAGTCTCTGGAATTGTCTATAGAAATTATATAAATAATAAATCAACAAATATTATTTATCTCCAATAATAATTTTCAACAAAAAATACACAAAAAATTAGGAGAATATTTTGGGAGTATTGAAAATAACTGAAGGAATAGAATCATATTTACTCGAATAATTCTTCAATAATGAATCATGCGGATGAATTAATAAATAGAGGAATTAATTCGAGTAAATATGTCAATATAAAATGAACAAAATATTAAATTCAAAACTATATATTTTTCAAAAAAATTTTTTTGTTCATTTTTAACCAAATTTATGCTTTTATATTAAACTATCACAAATGTAATTAATACAAAAAAATTACAAATTGTTAACCCATAACATACAATCAACAGATATGTTTTTTAATATATTTGAATTTTTTTAAGAAATTATTTAGACTTCGAAAACAAAAAATTAAAAGAAACCTAAATAAAGGAGTGAAGATAGAAAATACATATTTATGTATAGTGAAGAGAAATTTTTAGAAAATAACGAAAATTGGAAAAAATTAAAAAAGGTAGGTAAATGAATGGATGGGTAAATATCTTAAAGAATTTAATAAAAGGTCCAAATATGAAGAGAATTGAATTAAATTAAAAAAGCATTTCAGTGGATCTGGGTTAACCAAAAAATAAAAAAATAGACCAAGTTCGATTCTAAAAGGATCAAAAACCCCAAATACGATAAAGAAGCTCTCGAAAAATTAGGGTTGGACTTGCCTTTGAAGGTTGGAGAATTTTAGAGTTTTAAATCCACACTCCCCTCGTTGTGTCGAAAAAATTTCTGATCTCCCCCCCCCATCCCCAACAATAGGAACCAGCCCCATCATCATTTTACTCATATCTGTTGATATGGAGAAGAGTGTATTATTTCAATAGATTTATTACTTCCATTGTTTTCATAGCAGTCAAAAATTTTTTCTGAATTTATTTTCTTCACTTCCCAATTATTTTCTATAAATTCCATTTGCCCTCCACTCATTGTATATGGAGTAAAAAGAAATTCGTCCTCTTCCATCAAAATATTTTCACCATAATTTTGTTCAGTTAAATAATCTAATTGAGGTTCGTATTCTTCTACCATTATATCTGAACAAAAATTATTTTAATAATTAATTTTCAAACAAAATTGAGAGAAGAAAAGAATGACTTTAATTTCAATAATGTCCTATGTACTATATTTTAGTTAAGAAAAAGGTTCAGAAATTTTTAATGCAACCAAAACCCCCCCCCCTTCCTCAACATAAAATTAGGAATACCTAATAGTAATATATGTATACGGAGGTAATCGTGAAGAATTGGGGATACACTTTTAAAAACCTTAAAAATTATTATTTTTTTCTGAAAATCATTTTATATAGGTAATCGATATGCTGAACACGAATCCGATAACAGATTTTATCAAATATGACATTTTATCTATGATTTCCTATCATGTACTTGATTACCAGCTAAAATTCCGTTGGTCATAACTTTGTTCAGAAATATTCAATCGAGCTCATTTTGGTGCCATTCGACTCATCTCGACGAGCTCTTTCGAATGAGGGGTCAAATGTATAATCGAATTTTTTGACCCCAAAAATTTTCAAATTTCGGGGGTCTGTAACTCGGCCGAATGAGGTCGAATTTCGTTTATTTTGGTGTCGTTCGACTCAGCTTGAGGAGCTCTTTCGAATGAGCTATAATTTGTATAATCGGATAATTTACCCCTAAATCGACCTTACTTCCCCTACGGGTTTTCGATTTTCGGGGGCCTATATCTCTGCGAGTTTTCGTCCCCAACAAAAAATTCTTGCATATTTGAACTCAGCATAGTCGATTACCTATATAAAATGATTTTCAGAAAAAAATAATAATTTTTAAGGTTTTTAAAAGTGTATCCCCAATTCTTCACGATTACCTATACGGAAATTTAATTAGGGAAAATGTTTAGGTATGTTTATTTTTTATGAAAAAGCAATGTGGTAAAAATCTGAAAAAATTCCTGGGATCTTCCCTAGCAATTTGATGAATAATGACAAAGAAATCTGATTTTCAACTCACCCCAGGGTAACCGTTCCAAACCCAAATTAAAACTATATAAAAGTGATGTCCCGAGATAATGATTATAGCTGAATAATTTTTAAAAGTTACTCTGCCTAAATCCTATAACTATAATTTTATTTAACCTTGGTTAGTATAGTTTTCATCAAAATTATTGTCAAAACATTTTGAGTTATTGAATCCACGATTTTGGTTATTATTACAACGTTTCTGTGCTCTTTTGTGCAGATTTTTGTGTATTTTTTGCATTTTTTTCATTTCAGCTACGGCCTAAAATTAATTTTTTTAAATTTTTATTGTCAAAAATTTAAAATTAGCCTTAAAAGAAGCAACAGAATCTGCCTGTGTAAAACCAAAAGATTCTGATATTTTATCATCCATACATTTTTGTTCGGGTGCTACAAAGTCTATTAATGTTCGAGAAGCACCTTTTTTTAATTATTAAACAAATATTTTATTTAAATAAAAACCATAAAAACGTTGTCCTCTATTTCCTATTGCCTGATCTAAATTTGTGAGAACACTTTCTCTACTGTCAATTTCTGAATGATGTAAATCGCCAGGTTTTTGGTTAAACTGAAATTTTATTTGTGTTTAACACTAAACTTCTCCCTCTCTTTACCTTATCAACAAGCATTTCTTGTTGTAGAGTATTTCTATTAACACCATTCATTCCAAACTGTTTGCCATTTGGTGCAACAATAAGACAAACAGATAAAAGAAGAACAGCTAAGCAAGTACCTCTCTGACCTGTCAACTTTGTTGTGTTTCCAAGTGTCATCTATTAGATATTTTTTATTTTAAATTAAATTAGGGTAGCTCCATCCACCGACGATTATTTTGGCAAAAAACCCCGATCCGAACCCCGAAGTCTCTACCAAAGCAAACCCCGATCCCCAACGATCCCAAAGGCTGGGGGAGCTACTTTAATCTAAATTATGAGTAAGAATATTTTGTCTAATCCAAAAATAAAGGCACTCAAAAAAAATAAAAATAAATTCCTGATTCCGCAAATAGGGACAAAGGATCCCTATTAAATATACCCTAAACTAAAAACATTTTATAGTACCTGCATATTTCTAAGCTGTGTAACTAAATGTTTATTTTCACCAGCTAAAATTTCAATTTGTCTTTTTAATTCCCCATTTTCTTTTGTACAATTTTCAATTCTTTGTTCCAATGCTTCAATATAAACCTATTAAAAAAATATTTTTTAAAAAATATTTTTAAAATCTTTTGTTTGCCTGTTTTCGCCTTCTACTTGTTTGTGCCGATTTTTTATTTCTAATTTTACGTCTAATTCTTTTTAATTCACGTTCTTCAGCCTTTGTGAGAGGATAAACATCGGGTAAATTGATACCTTCCTTTAAATTAATTTTAAAAAATTTTAAAAATATTAGACAATTAATATAAGATACATCCCGGGGGCTGTTGTAAATCTTCAGATATCCGCAATCGAACATTCTCGGTTCTTTGATTCGGTTCCGGAACAATTATTTAAAATTCTTTTCGATTCCGAACCAAATTATATACCGTATTTTCTCGATTAATTCCCCCGGGGAATTATTTTTTCAACCCTTCCTTGGCATGGGGAATTAAGCGAGGGTGGGGAATTATTCGAGTTTTGGCATTTGAACGTGCAGTAGAGTATTTGGGGTGGGGAATTATTGTTTCAACCCAACTCTAGCATGGAGAATTAATCGAGAGGGGAATTAATCGAGAAAATACGGTAATGGGGTTATTTTGAATACGGGTTATAATTAGGGTGTAAATAGGGATCCAAGGGACAACAAATTTTCAAAACAAATCTTAATTTTATAGAGGTATCTTTTTTGTGAGCTTGATTTATTATTCGAGAATTATTTTTAAACTTTTTTAAAATAAAATAGAAAAGAAAAACAGACTTTTTTACATAATTTTCTTTCCTCCTCAGTCAACACCAACCCTTGATGTCGTCCACGTTTATTAGACATTACTGGCTTTACTTCACTTAAAGCATCCAAATATTCATTTTTATCACAATATCCTATTAAAATATTTTTTAGAAAAATAATTCCTCTGATTTAAATGATAATAAAGTCTAAATTAGATGGATATAGGAATGAGGCGATAGTTTGCTTAGAAATTTCGGTTATCTAAATAATGATTTTTCGAGACCTTAATCCCTATTAGGGTTGCCAAAATGGACCGACTCGGATCGAAAGATCGAGTCAGGCCTAGATGTTTAGGCCCGAAAAAACTCGTACCAGCCCGACTCGATAAAAACAAGTCCAAAAAATGCCTCGACCATCGGCCCGACTCGAAAACGGCAACCCTAATCCCTATCAACCCTTCGTTTATGTAAACGTTAAATTGGAATAATAATATTGGATTAATTAATTATATATTTATTAAGGTCACAGAATTAATTAAAAGTCTCCAAATTACCATTAAATTGTTTATTTTGTTTTGAGTTTTGTTTATCTAAATTTTCAATAACATTATTTTTAATTGCTTCAGTTTGGTATTCCTAAAAATAAAACATTTAAAATCCAAAAATATTTTATAGAAATTAACTGTATATTCCATTAAAGTTCCATCAGTATCAACATAAAATGCTGATTTTGATTGTTCTTTTAATTGAAAATCAACAGGAACATCCAAATTTGGATTTAATGTTAATGTAGAGTCTGTGTCATATCCACAACTAAAACAAATTTTAAAATATAAAAATTAAATTAAATTGAATTTTGGCTTGAATCCTTTAAAAAGATTGTTAATTTTCAAATAAATTATTAGTAAGTCTGTTCCAATCGAGATAAAAACAGATAATAACTGAACATAACCACTATAATGTATTATTTTTAACCACTGATATTAACGGGGTAAAATGATAATTTACTATATAAATATTAAAAAAAGTTTTTCCCTAATATCAAAAGGGCATTTAACTGAAAATGGGCACTTGAAATAATTTTTTACTCCAAAGAATTAAATTAATATATGTATAAAATTATTTCCCAAAAATATTCAAAATTGTTAACCTATTTCGAATGCTTGTACATCCAGAACTTTCATTTGATGTAACATTCGAAGAAAGCCCCGAATCTGGGGAGCCACAAAAAGAGGGCATTTCGAAGTAACAATGATCGTGGTCTTGGGAAGTATATTTTTGTTGCTTTAAATTATTTTTATATTTCTTTAAAGAACAAAATTAAAAACCCAATTTTGTTCTTCTTCCACACGTCCATATAAATCATCCAAATCAAAATTTAAAGGGGAAGAAACTGAAGAACCAAGAAATTGTTCTAAATCATTGTCAGCCTCAAAAATAATTTTTAAAAATTTTTTACAAAAAATTTTATTTTTATTAAAAATAAATTAAAATTAAAAATAATTTTATTTATTAAAAAAATTTTTAAAAATTTTTATGAAAAATAATTTTTTAATTAAAAAAATTCACAAGCATTCCAAGATTTGGATCTAATCCATTTAAAAGAGAATCGAATCCGTTGTGATTAATGTTGTTACAATCAACAAACTCGGTTTCAGAGGAATTGTCAAAATTATCAATGACTATAGAATCCATAATAATTATATGGAAATAATGCTTTTTAAACTATAAAAAATAAAATTAAAAACAGATAATTAATTAAAAATTAATTAATAATTAAATATTAAAAACAGATAAAAATAAATAAAAAATTAAAAAAGAAAGAAGCAAAATAATGAAAAATTTTATGTAAATTTAAAATAAAATGTAAATATATCCTAAATAAAATTAAAAACAATAATAAAAGTAAAAGAGTTTTAAATATTTAAATAAAAAATTTAAAATTTTAATTAATAATTTCATTAAATTTAATTTATTTTTTAATAAAATATTTGTACTTTTATTATTTAATAGCATTTCTTTTGAAGTTAACATTTTCGATAAAAAATAATAAAAATACTAGTTACCAAATACATAAAAGCACACAACCAAAAGTTAACAAGGAAATAAAAATAGAAAAGCTTAAAGAAAAAGTACTAAAAGAATAATTTAAAAAGGGTAACACACTAAAATAATATAACACACTAAAAATAGTAGTATAACACACTAAAAATAATTTTAAAAATTAATTCAGAAATTTAAATAAAATAATGTGAAAATTTTAAATAATTAATTTAAATTATATGATATTCAAAAATCTTCAAAGATCTTCCGATTTTCAATTTAACGAGATTTGGTATCGGAACCAATACTCTAAAATAATTCCAAAACATTTTTTCGCCCACTTTTAGTCAAATAAACTTTAAAAAAATAAAAATAAAAAAAGAATTATCAATAACTAAATACACGTAAAACAAATAAAAATTATCGTTAGTTAACTATTATATAAACATATGACTAATAAAATTAAAGTTTTTATTAATTAAAATAAGAGAAATATTTTAAAAATTTATAAACCTAATTATTAAATTAAAATATAAAAATATTTTGGAGGGAAATTCAAGGCAGTGAAGGGTATTGGGTGTTTTGTAGCTCTAACTCCGAGCATTTCAAACACTTAGAATTGGACCCGGAGTTGGAATTTCAGTATTTTAAAATAAAATTTTAAAAAATTAGAAAAAATTTTAAATAATTTTCAATAAGAATTTTTGTCGCCCTCTCACAGCCCAAATAGTCTACAATCAATTTAGTCTGCTGTAAACATCAATAATAAAGCTATAGAGAGATAGAATGAGGGAATGAAGGAAATGAAGGTAGTGCAACGTCGCCTTAGCGATAGCTGGCTAGTTAAAACCCAAAAAATCAACCCTATCCTTTGAAAAAAAACAAGAAAATCCAAAGGAGTATTTGATTTTCGGGGAGATGTTCTTTTGGACATGAATGTGTTTGATGGACACAGAAAAATCCACTTTTGAAGGACAAAAAACTTTAAACATTGACCTTAATTTTTGGAAAGCAAAATCGTGTCCAAACGAGCGAAAATTCGACAAATGTTTTTCAAGAAGAGGGATTTTTTTAATCTAATTTTGGTTACCGTAAATGCTCGAATAATTACCCTCTCTCAAATAATTACCGAAACTAGCGAAAGGTTGAAACAATAATTTTTAAAATAAAATGTTTTTCAAGAATGGAAATCAAGAAGGGAGAAATAATTTCTGCAGATTAAAAATTTATATTACCAAAAAGAGTTCAAACACAGGATCAAATATTTGAATGAATTTATAAAAAAATTTCAAAACTACTTATTTTGTATGAAAAAATAAAAAAAAACGATAATAACTTGAATGAATAATAAATAAAAGGATTATATTTCTGAAAATGCACTTTACTATTAAATTTAATAAAGTATGAAATGATGTTGATATATGGAAAATTTGGAAAAAAATTCAAGTTTAAAAAAGATAAAAGTTTCCTGTAAAGTCGTATAAGCTAAACAAACTAAAGGAATAATATTCACATTAAATTAAATTAAATGTTTAAATGTCCTGTTTTATTTAGCCTTTAAGTGAGTGATTCTAGTAAGGGTTATGTTACATTTACAATTATATGTCTACAGATTAAAAAATTTTTTTCAAAATCCTTATTTATCAAATTTATAAGAAATTAAGGCAGATATCACTACAGCTAGTGCAAACGGTTTATCAGCGGCAAGGGCGAACCAGCATCTTCAGTAGATGGATGTGTTGAATTTTTTGAATTTTTTCATTCAGACTGATGCGTTATCCATTACACCACGCCGCTTACTGCACATCCTTAGGAATTAAATAGCTATATGCTTTACAGAATTAATTTTATTTTCAAATTAACGATAAGTAACCAAAAAAGTGATTGAAAAATAAAGTGCAAATTAAGTGAGCAATAAAAGAAGTCGTCTTAATAAAAGAAGTCGCTCTATACTAAATCAAGACTTCCGCTTTTCGGATAGGTTCTTATCTAACAAATTAACAATGAACTATTATAAATTAGTACAATTATGAAAATATTTTATAAAAATAAATTAAATGCATTTCTTTACATTAAAGGACCATCATTTGAAACATATCTATGGCTATGCTCATATAATATTTATTTAGTCGAATATACTCTTTTAATAGATAAAAGTGCAATTTTAGACTAGCATTGTCTTTTGACTGTCTAGACAATATCCAGGTGTGTATATTAATTTTAAAAAATAGAAAGTTAAAATGTTTGTTAAATTTATAAAAATATTATACAAATTTATATCGAGAACTGGATGTTTATCCGATTTAAAAAGTAAAAATGTAGCGGAGATTAGATTGTTTAAAAAACTATTTTTGTTGTTGATATGAAAAAATCGTTTGATGGGGATAGAAGAAATGCAAAAAATGTAAATTAAGGATAATTAAGAGATTTTTTTGTTGTAGTTTAAGTTTTACTTATTATTTTAATAGGGAAATAAAAAATTATTTATTTTATAAATAGTTATTTTTTTAATACGATTCATCAACAATTTAAAAATATTTCAATTTTTATTTAACATTTTAATTGAATAAATTAAAAATTATGAATTAATTAATGTCTGATTTAAAAAATTTTTTCTTAAAGTAATTTTTAATTATTTTTAACTTTGTTATTTCTTTGTCTGGAAAAAATAAGATACAAAAAGGATTAATTGTATTTGCCATGTATTAAACAAAAATATTAAAATTTTAAATAACTTTAAAGTTCTCTCTTGAACCTGGAAAATAATAAAATTGAATTTTGTAAATAAATTAATAACAAATAATACTTAAAATAGAAATTTTATAATTGTTAATTTAAAATTATTTTCATTATTCTCTAAACTAAAAATATAATTTTCAAAAATTAAATAAATTATTCATTTTTAGATAACAGAATCTAAAAATCCATTAAATATTACTTAAATATTTATTATTATAATATTATACTTGTAATATAAATATTTTCATTCCTTTTCTCTCATAATTCCTTCTTTATCAATATAAAATTCATAATTTCCATAATTAATTAAAGGAGTTATTTTCCCAATTAATTTCATATCTTCCAAAACATTATCTGCCTCCATAATATCTTCATCATAATTAACAGACATTTCACCATCCTCAAACTCCAATCCGTCCACTTTCTTTGGTGTACGGAATTTTGGTCACTGGAATTCTGGTCACCAAGGATTTTCGGAACTTTGGTCACCAACTTTTTTGGAATTTTGGTCACTAGCGGAATTTTGGTCACCAAGTCAATAAACGGAATATTGGGCATTGAAATTTTGGTCACCAAGAGGAATTTTGGTCACCAAACGGGAAAAACAAATCTTATCTAAAATTGATATCAAAGTAATAAAAAATGATTTTTCAACTTCCAGTTGATCAATTTTAATGTTTATCACTCTTCCGGCTGATAACTCTCTCGGTTGATCACTCTCAATCACTCAACCGGAAGATTGATTAACCGTGAAAGTGATCAGCATTGAAAATAATCATCAGGTAGTTGAAAAACAATTTTTTAACACTTTGATATCAGTTCTAGATAAGATTTGTTTTTCCCGTTTGGTGACCAAAATTCCTCTTGGTGACCAAAATTTCAGTGCCCAATATTCCGTTTATTAACTTGGTGACCAAAATTCCGCTAGTGACCAAAATTCCAAAAAAGTTGGTGACCAAAGTTCCGAAAATCCTTGGTGACTAGAATTCCAGTGACCAAAATTCCGGCACCCCTTTCTTTACAAAAATTGTTGTACTAAATCTTAAACGTTGAAACAATTCTTTTTCGTTATTTTTGGGTTTATTAAATAATTTAAATAAACATTTTTCTTTATTTGGTTGATTAATATTGACAAAAAATTGAAACCAAAATTCATCATAGAAAGATTCTTTTATTATAATTAAATAATTACCTAAATATTTTGAAGAGAAACTATTAAATAATAAATGTCATTTAAATCTACTTTGATATAACTTTAATGTAAAAAAAAATTAATAATTCTAAAAGTAGGTCTGTCTCGAATTTTTAGAGCCTAAACATAAAGTGAGATGAAACATATTTATGAGAATGGACTTAACCATGCTTGATTTGAAAAATATTTAGATAGATAGTGATAGCTAGAACCAAAATTTTTGAGGAACTAGGAGTAACTTCTAATTCTTTAGCTAGACTCTCAGAATATGTGTTAAAACTTTTAAAGACAATTTTGGCTTTAGGAGGAACTAACTATCCAAAAACTTAAAATTTTTCTTTTAAGTACTCGCCTTCTAATTCAAATTTAATACAGATTTCAATATTTGAATATTCCATTTTCTCTTCATCTTTTTTACTTTTTAACGAGGTTGCATCCATAAATTTAATTTTATCTTGATTAATTAATTTCCGAGGTCCTAGAGGATTAAAGAAACAAATTAATCGAGTTAATTCATATCCGTTATTTCTTTTTAGGGTTAATAATGAATTTATTCCATTTATTTTTATTTCTTTTTTCATAACATTATTGTTTAAATTAAATAAATTATTATTTTCATTTAAAATATTTTTTGTTTCGACTTCAATTTGAGCATGAAACAGAGGAATAATTTTAATCATCAACTGCTAAAATATATTTTATAATTTGGATATTTGATATCTTTTTATAAAAAAGATGTTCGGGCCTTCGCAATAAATTTTTAAATTTTAAATTTCAATAAATTTTCCTTCGCCTTCGCAATAACCTTCGCAATAAACAAACATTCCCTGATCCCTTTAACATGTTCCTGCTTAACTTTAAATTAGTCAATTGTTCGGAAACTCTTAATATTAAAATAAAAAAAAGCATCAAAAACTTTTCTTTATAATTTGGGGTCATATTTTTTCTTCATGTTTTTGCCTTACAGGGTATTAAGAGTTTTCCGATATGTTGCTAGCCTTAATGTTCAGCGAATTTTGTTTTATTATAATATTCTGTTTTATTATAATCGAAAACTGAATGTTTTATCTGATTTAAAAAGTAAATATGCAGCGGAGATTTTTGTGTTTAAAAAAATATATGAAAAAATATTTAAAAAAATATAAAAAATATTAAAATAAAATAAAAATTAAAAAAATATTCATTATATGAAAAATGAACACAAATAGTTTTAGTAGTGGAGGATACCCTTTCAGTTGAGAGCGTAAGTTGAATTTTTTTCAAAATTATACTCTCTACAAAGTGATTTCAAAAAATTATTTTTAATTTAAAAAAGGTTGTCGGATGGGGAAAAGACGAAAACTGGAATTTCCTATTGGATTGGCCGAAATAGTTGGGGAACTGCTTGGGGTGAAAATGGTAAGGAACAATAATCTTTTCTAATAAACTTAAAAAAATCTTTTTAAGGCTGGTTCCGTACCTCAGAAATCGAAATGGAGGGAATAAATAAAATTTAAAAATTGAAGAGGATTGTTATTGGGCTAATCCCGAAATTTAATTTGAGAGAAACGATGAAAGAAAATTTTAAATTAAACGAGATTCGTTTAAAAGTCTTAATTTTCTTATAAAAAACAAGTAAAATGAAATTTTGACATATTGCTGTATTTTAAGTTTTAAAAGTAAATTTTTTGTTGGATTAGAAAATTTCAAGTTTTAAGGTGTTTCCAAGTTTATTTTAAAACACAATTTTTACATATAAACAATACAATTTTAAATTTAATTCATTTTTAAAGATAACGGATAGAGAATCGGAATATTGAGAAGCTTACTTAAACCAGAATTCTGTTTTGTAATTATCAGAATTTTATAAAAAATACAAAATAAACACAAAATCAAAATATAAAATGATAAAATTGAAATCAGAATTTTGAAAAATACAGTTTATATGTAACTAAACTTTAATTTAAATAAACTTGAAATCAGAACATTTAGAAAACAAACTTAAATCAGAATTTAAAGTTTAT